ATCATTCGGATCACAACTTGCAGACGTAGGTAGTAATTTTGTTGAATCACGTAAAATTGATGTTCTTTTTTCATGTGTTTTGATTGATTAATTGATTTTCTTGTTATCGTATTAATCAAATTTCTAAGTATTTCCCAGTCAACGGTTAACTGCAGCATTACCATTGAGTGCAACCCAACAATCCGAAAGGCTCAAGACACCCGCATTTAGAAAGGCTATTTTCGCAACTCAAGTTTTTGACTCCTCCCATGTCATTTTTTTTTGGAAAAATTACACAGGACCCCCTCAAACTTAGGGTAAATGACACATCACCACCCAAAACTTTTATCCTACTTGTAAATAAACTGTAAATTGTGACCGAGGTAACAGTGTTTGTAAAATACGTAAAATACCCTCTGAATTTTGTTCAAATTTTCTTTGTAATTTCATCCATTAAACAACTACACATTAACCAAATAAAAAAGAAAAACTTGGTTGCAAGCATACTCTTCTCCCATTCTTTTCTACTTTTCACTACAGAACACCCCTACCACTACAGATCCACCCCAAAAAATCCACCACCGCAGAACAACCAAAAACCACCATTACTAAACACCCAACTAATCCTCACCACCACCGCCACCGCCACCATTGAACACTTAATTAAACCCCTTCCACCAACACCACTCAACACCTAATCAAATCCCCTCCAACACCAATCAACATCCAATCAAACCCACTCCATTGATAGCTCAATCACACAAATGTCATAGCACCGGATGCCCTCCAACCCGACAGAGTCCTCCATCGCAACTCTACCACCCAATTACAGTGCAATCATTGTCCTTTTACCCAAATTGAATAGACACCGGCACGTGTGTGTGTGTTGAGGGAGAAAGAGAAAGAGCGACAATGCACTTGGAGAATAGAAAGCTAGGGTTTGGCTTTTATTAGTTGTTTTTATAAAAAAAGTTTGAACTTGAAAGGATAAAATTGTCATATTGAACATATATAATCAAATCCTTCACAATTCACGCAATTTGATTGGCGCGTGTAGCTCAAACACCATTGAAATTCATGGGTTCTATTAGATTTATAGTTTATTTACAAGTTGGAGAGGGTTAAATATAACTCATAAAAGTCTAGGGTGGTGACGTGCCACTGACCCTAAGTTCGACAAGGTCCTATATCATTTACCCTTCTTTTTGTTTTTTTTTGGGTGAAGTTTTGATAAGATCCGGCAATTGTAATAGCAAGTTGAAACCAAACGGCATAAATGGATGTATTCCACTCCAAATCATGGTTCTGTTTGGGAAATTTTGAGTACAAAATGTTTGATCATTAGGAGATGGCTTTTATAAAATAAATTCTAACTTCTTTTTTTTTTGGGGGGGGGGAGGGGAGGGGGGTTTGAATCTTTGACCTCAAGAAGACAAAATCTTCACAAGGTAAGGAGTACCATTGGACCAAAGGCCCATTGGTCAAATTCTAACTGTAACACTTCAATAGGAGCTAATCCACATTCAACTTCTACATTTTTCATATGTGCTTGACAGTGTGTTTACTGATGACTAGACCAAACTCTCCTTGCACAATATGGCCTTGACAATTCTGTTTTTAAACTGTATTTAGGTCCTTTAGCTTATGATGTTCCAGCTTTCAATGGGGGCTTACCGACATTCCTTCTGAATCCATACTCATGGACAAAGGTATTTCATCTCAATGATCTGGTTTACACTTTAAAATGGAAATGGCTTTCATTGTCGCTTAGATTAATAGATATTTTTCCCGTATCTTTCTGATAATTTTTCAGTTTGCAAACATTATATTCGTAGACACACCTGTTGGCACTGGCTTCTCCTATTCAACTACCTCGGAAGGATACTATTCCTCAGACACGAAAACAGTGAAAGATACTTATAGTTTTCTTAGGAAGGTGAGTGAAAAAAAATTCTTAAGCATAAGGTGAATGTGAATTTGTTTTGATTAGAACAAACGCAGTCTTGAATAGTTATGTAAATATAATACTAACTGTCCTAAACAATGCAGTGGTTGTTGAATCACCCCAACTTTGCCGAACATAACCTTTACATTGCTGGTGACTCCTACTCAGGCCTACTTATTCCAATGATTGTTTCAGAAATATCAAACGGTGATTTATGTTTATCCAAGTTTACATTTTTCTGATTTTTTTTTTGTATAAATTTGATAACTTTCCTGGACTAAAGTTGGGTATAATTATGATGATGCAGCCAACGAAGAAGGACACATGCCACACATGTCTCTCCGGGTAAATGGTCTATCCAATTATTCCAAACAATCAATTTTCATGCTTAGCACTGTGAATTATTGTTCAAGGTAATTTTTTGTTTTTTCAAAATTGAGTCAGGGATACGTGATTGGAAATCCAGTTACAGATTTGCACAATGATGAAAATTCAAAAATCCCATATGCTCATCGAATGGGACTTATATCGGATGAATACTACGAGGTGATTTTACCACTCTTTCTAAATTTTTATCATGCTTCATACATGTTTGAAAATGTAGAAGTTATCAATTTGAAATACATGTTTGTGCTTCTTCAGGGAGCCAAAAGTAGCTGTCAAGGTGAATATGTCGATCCAGATCCGAACAATGCACAATGCATCTATTATCTTCGACTTATTGAAGAGGTAAGATATACACATTTGGGGTTTGAAAGGTACACCCTTAACACTGGAGGCATTGAGAATGTATGACCATTTTAAAATTGCAGTGCAAGGGCAAATTAAATGAGCCTCAAATTTTGGAACCTAAATGTGGTTCGACATGGGGTCATAGATTTTTTGAAGACATTTCGTCGGATGTTCTCTTCTTATCGTCTCAACAAGAGGAAATGTGGTGCAGGGTGAACACCCTCTCTCTCTCTCTCTCTCTCTCTCTCTCTCTCTAAGTATAGGACAATGTTTTTGTATCCTTTAGTGTGCCCACCACAAGTTTTTAGAGCTAACGTGTGACTGATTTACTGATTTGCAGAAGTATGGTTATATACTCTCTTATATCTGGGCAAATGATCCAACAGTCCAACAAGCTCTTCATATTCGAAAGGTGAGTTAAACTCAAGTTACAATATCTAAGATTCAAACACTTCTGAAAAATAATTTCATAGCAATATTTTGATAAATAATCAGGGAACAAAAACAGAATGGAGGAGGTGCAATAAGACCTTAGCTCTCGATGAAGATGTAACAAATGTTGTCGAGTATCATCAATTTCTTAGTAGGAAAGGATATCAAGCATTAATTTACAGGTAAAATGTTGTCACTATTTGATTTTTTATAATTATAAGGAATCGTGAAGAATCAGCCTGATTCACACATTCATTAAAAGGCATCATCAACTTCAAATGAAAATTGAAACCATAATGTAGTTCAAAAACATCATGTCGTGTGACGAGTATCCGATTATGTCGGAACTAGAGCAGCCGTACTTTTTTCTACCAAAACCCAAACTCAAGAACTGAAGTATAGAATTTTCACAATGTTATGCACCAAATGAAGTTTTTTTAGTCCTATACCAACCAACAACGAGGCATTTCAAAAACTTCATGTAGACTCACATTACACATAAATCCTTCTAGTTCATATGCTTTTTTGTATGCTCAACTTATAGTATGACGTTTATGGATGACTAATCTCATTTTTTTCTTGCAGTGGTGATCATGACATGGTTATTCCATACATTGGCACGTTAGAATGGATAAATTCTCTTAATCTTACTGTTGATGACAATTGGAGACCATGGTTTGTCGATGGTCAAGTTGCAGGGTCAGTTTCTATAATTGCAAACTTTTAATAACAGACTCTTTCTTAAGGTTTTCCTTAATGGCTTTATCTCAAAAATATACTACTCACAATTGCAATGTTATTTTCTTTTTTTGCAGTTACACAGAAAAGTACAGGCATTATGAGTTTGCTCTAACATTTGCAACCATAATGGTAAGAGCATTTCTTACTCAATTCCTTCGCCTTATAGCGCAAAGAAGAAGCTTGTGACAAAAAAATGATATATTCTTTTTTTTTTGGCAGGGAGCAGGTCATACAGCTACACAATACAAGACTAAGCAATGTTTTGCCATGGTTGAAAGGTGGTTCTCTCAGTATCAGTTGTAACTTACCAAAACATGTCACCTATTTTATTCAGGAAATAAATGTTTTACAAAGGAGAAAATCTCCATGTATGTTTAATCTATGAATTTGAGAGAATATTGGTATTATTGAGCAATCATAACATCTACAAAATTTGACTGTTATGAGTACAGTTTTTGAGATTCATGTAGATGAATCTTATTGCAAAAATAACATCCATGAAAGTAGGCATTGCAAACCAAACTCATGTGATTTTCCCATAATAAGAAGTGTATATAGGAAGAATGCAATTAAGGGTATAGATTCACAGGGAAAAGAAGCCGGCAAAATCATTAAACGCAATGTGAAAAATATGATATTTGAAAGGGTAATGTGAAAAAATAAAAATAAAAAACCATAGTTGAGGGGGGTGCTATTGTAGTTTGCTCCAATAAGAAAATTGTTTATGAAATAATATAAGTACCCCTTCACTCTTCTTCACGACATGCTGCATCAGCATTCCTTTATAAATAGAGATAGTCTGTCCTAGTCCTTTCCCGATTCTCTATCGGAATAAAAAGATATCTAACCATTATGATATTTCAATCTAAATTTAACCAACATCTCACTACACCGATTGTTAAAAGTTGAAATTGCTTGAACCCTTCGTCAATCTTAGTCTTTTCCAATTGTGACTAACTTTTCGATTCTAGACAGGGCACTTTGATCATCCATAGCTCGATCATATTCTACTCTAATGTGCGAGGAAAAGTACAAATGCTAGCTCACACCTGCTCACATTGACACATTAGTCACAACCCCTTTCTTTTTTTAACTTAAATTGACACTATCTGCCATGGGTGTAGTTTGGAGTTTCTTGATCATTTCAATTATTTGGCACACTAAGCACACCACGACCTACCTCAATGAGACTGAGGCAGCAGAAATGTCACCAATACGACAAAGGTTGGTAAGAATTGGGGGACAACTAGCTGTTTCAGGGGAGATCAAACTAGCCAAAGAATTACATTCTTTGAGACAGGGGAGGCTCAAAACAAGAAGAGGTCATGGGCAAAAGTGTTAAATTGTGTCCTATTTGTTAAAAGATTTTCAAATTAAAGCCTTTTATGGGTGGAGGTTTTGTAAAAAACTAATGTGTTTGAGAAAGTGAAAGGCTGCCACTGGCACCAATCCAACGTCGGAAGAATGGGACCCACTTTTTTGGAAATATTATTATGCATTATCCATATATCAGTAAAACAAATTAGTTTTATTTTTATTTTTTTTGTCATATTTTGAAAAAGTAATGCATACAGTGTTATATAATTTACACAAGGGTGACAATTTCTAGCTCAAAACAACAACACGATTCTGAGTTCGACACGAATTTAATTAAGTGAAATCGATTATAATTCGACACGATTATATGGTAAGATATGTGAATCAGATACGACTCCCGAAGCTAAACAGATTAAAATGGGTTGTGTTCAAGTTAAACATATTATAATCATGGGGGACTTAGTGTGCGATTTTTCGACACGATTATTAATTAAGTCATGTTCAAGTTAAGAATTGTATGACACGATTCATACACGATCCAACAAGACTCAATTATCGCCCTAACTTTACAAGAGTTTGAAGATCAATTACAACTAAAATTGCGAGTCCCACCGAAAGAGTAATCAACCTGTCAATGTTCGACTTCGAATAATCCCCAGTCATTTGGCCTTTTGGAACGTTAGGTACAACCTTTTGGTCTCGACAGTAAACTATTCCAACAACCTGTGGGACAATGTTTTGTACGTCGATGACAAACTTTTCCGAATCATAATTCTCACCTAAGGTACGTATGCACGATGGTAAATTACACTTTGACTGTGAATTATCATCATTTTTTTTATTTGTCTCCTCAACTATTAAATTTTTCATAACCACCTCAATTAATTTGATTATTTTACATTACTCCAATAATAAACGTTTGTTATCTTTTTAAATGAAAATTATTGATGTGTCGGGACAAACTCAAAATGAATTAAATAAATCAGGAGTAAAATAAAAATTTTTTTTGTTAAATATATAATGAACATTAATAATTGGAGCAACATGAAAGTAATCAAATAATTGAGTGCAATGTAAAAAACATGATAGCTGAGGCTGTAATGTGGAAGAAAAAAAAAAAAACCTTCCTATCCACAAGCTCAATGTTTTTCAACCTTTTTTGCTAAGGGACGAGCACGCATGCCAAACGGATAATTGTTAATATCTCAAAATTTGAAGTTTAATTTGTATTTAAATGATCATTGAAGTGATCATGCGTTGGTCACCTAATATTGTCCGAAAGAATCACACGTAATCATTTTCGTTAAAAAATTTTAACGTATTGGTTTGAGATTATTTGAAGACGAATTGAATAATTTATGGACTAAATTAATAAAATCTATAAATTTAGGACTAAACTAAAAAAATAAGCATTGTTTGAGGATTAAAAGTGCAATTAACACTACATTTTATCAGGCATCAAAGGAACATAGCTTACCTACCGTTGTGTGAAATCATTGAAACCCACAACTGTTGAATAAGAGATGGCACCACAAGCAGCTTTAGCTGCAGCTGATTGGCTACGATTAAGTTGTGTGTTCACTCTCTTTCTTCTCTTCAACACTGCTGAATCAAAGTCGATTGTCAAGGAACTACCCGGGTATTCGGGTAATCTCCCATTTAAACTTGAAACTGGGTGAGTTTCTCTGCTGTTGAATTTGCAAACATGCGATTTATGTGCTTTTTTTTGTTTCCAAGAACCTAAATTTCATGTCATTTCCACTGAAACGGCCAAAATGTTTCGGTTTCTGTTGAAACCAAAACGAAACAACGATTGTATTTAGAAATTCTTAGGTGTTTGGGAATGTTTTGAAGTATTTTGATTTGTTCCGGCCAATGTTTCGAAAATAAATTTTAAAATTTTTTCATTGTTTCTAACCAGTCTCTCAAATATTCGAAACATTTCCAAACTATTTCTACTTATAAGATACCCGAAACAATAGATCGAAATAAAATTTTGATGATATATTTTTTCACATGGGTTTTGTGTACGCAGATATGTAAGTGTGGGAGAAAAGGATGATTTGCAGCTATTCTACTATTTCATTGAGTCAGAGAGTAACCCTGTCAAAGACCCTCTTGTTCTTTGGATCACTGGAGGCCCTGGTTGTTCTTCTTTCTCTGGTCTTGTTTACGAAATCGGTATGTGTTTCATGCATTTACTTTATTTGACTAAAGGTCCAGTTGAAGAAACCAAAAGAGTTTATAAGAAAACAGAGGAAACAGGGGAAGACTTGCTATACACAAAAACTGTGGTACCGTATGACTTTTATGGGGTGTACATTACAAGTTGAAATCAAACAGAATTAGAGTCCAAACATTCCTCTTTGTATCATTAGTATGTTAGAAAGTTTCGATTTCTGAATGTCTGATCATCATAAACTCGTTTAATAAACTAAATTCTATCTCTAATACAATCCGGATTTAAATTTTGGCATGGTGTCGCTAACGATTCTGTTCTAAACTCTCTCTAGATCTTTTAATTTATGATGTTCCAGCTTTCAATGGGAGCTTACCGACATTCCTTCTGAATTCACAGTTTCTATTAGATTTATAGTTTATTTACAAGTAGAAGGGGGTTTAATGTAACTCGTAAAAGTCTAGGGTGATGCCGTATGACCCTAAGTTTGACAGGTCCTTTGTAATATACCTTTTTTTTGGTGGAGTTTTGATAATATCCAGCGATTAAGCACCATTTGCTTTAGACTGATTACAATAGCAATCAAGTCCTATACTTCCCAATTTTTTCTTGATCTCGTATTACAAATAGCAAGTTGAAACCAAACGGCATAAATGGATGTATTCCACTCCAAATAATGGCTCTGTTGGGAATTTTTGAGTACAAAATGTTTGATCATCAGGAGATGGTTTTTATAAACTAAATTCTAACTGTAACACATCAATAGGAGCTAATCTACATTCAACTTCTACATGTTTCATATGTGCTTGACAGTGTGTTTATTGATGAGTAGACCACACTCTCCTTGCCCAAGATGGCCTTGACAATTCTGTTTTTAAACTGTATTTAGGTCCTTTAGCTTATAATGTTCCAGCTTTCAATGGGAGCTTACCGACGTTCCTTCTGAATCCATACTCATGGACAAAGGTATTTCATCTCAATGATCCGGTTTACACTTTAAAATGGAAATGGATTTCTTTGTCGCGTAGATTAATAGAGATTTTTCCCATGTCTTTCTGATAATTTTTCAGGTCGCAAACATTATATTCTTAGACATACCTGTTGGCACTGGCTTCTCCTATTCAACTACCTTGGAAGGTTACTATTCCTCACACACAAAAACAGTGAAAGATAGTTATAGTTTTCTTAGGAAGGTGAGTGAAAAAAAAAACTCTTAAGCATAAGGTGAATGTGAATTTGTTTTGTAAATATAATACTAACTGTCCTAAACAATGTAGTGGTTGTTGGATCACCCCAACTTTTCCAAACATAACCTTTACATTGGTGGTGACTCCTACTCGGGCCTACTTGTTCCAATGATTGTTTCAGAAATATCAAACGGTACATTTTTCTGAAGGTTTTTGTATAAATTTGATAACCTTCCTGGACTAAAGTTGGGTAAAATTATGATGTTGCAGGCAACGATGAAGGAAACGTGCCACGCATGTCTCTCCGGGTAAATGGTCTATCCTGACAATATTAGTGTACTTAGTTTCCAGTTATTACAAACAATCAATATTCATGCTTAGCAATGTGAATTATTGTTCAAGGTAATTTTATTTTTTTTTGTTTTTGAAATTGAGTCAGGGATATGTGCTTGGAAATCCAGTTACAGATACACACAATGATGTAAACACAAGAATCCCATATGCTCATCGAATGGGACTTATATCAGATGAATACTACGAGGTGATTTTTCCACTCTTTCTAAGTTTTTATAATGCTTCATACATGTTTGAAAATGTAGAAGTTATCAATTTGAAATACATGTTTGTGCTTCTTCAGGGAGCCAAAAGTAGCTGTCAAGGTGAATATGTCGATCCAGATCCGAACAATGCACAATGCATCTATTATCTTCGACTTATTGAAGAGGTAAGAGATACACATTTGGGGTTTGAAAGGTTCACCTTAATTCTGCAGGCATTAAGAAAGTGTGACCATTTTAAAATTGCAGTGCACAGGCAAATTAAATGAGCCTCAAATTTTGGAACCTAAATGTGGTTCGCCATGGGGTCATAGATTTTTTGAAGACATTTCGTCGGATGTTCTCTTCTTATCGTCTCAACAAGAGGAAATGTGGTGCAGGGTGAACACCCTCTCTCTCTCTCTCTCTCTCTCTCTCTACAAATTTTTAGAGTTAATGTGTGACTGATTTACTGATTTGCAGAAGTATGAAAATATTCTCTCTTATGTTTGGGCAAATGATCCAACAGTCCAACAAGCTCTTCATATTCGAAATGTGAGTTAAACTCAAGTAACAATATCTAAGTTTCAAACACTTCTGAAAAATAATTTCATAGCAATATTTTGATAAATAATCAGGGAACAAAAACAGAATGGAGGAGGTGCAATAAGACCTTAGCTTTCGATGAAGATGTAACAAGTGTTGTCGAGTATCATCAATTTCTTAGTAGGAAAGGATATCAAGCATTAGTTTACAGGTAACATGTTGTCACTATTTGATTTTTTTATAATTGTAAGGAATCATGAAGAATCAGCTTAATTCACATATCTATACTACTAATAAAAGTATCTTAACATGAAAAAATTTTTATTTACTATTTTACCTTTATAAATAATTAAAAAGGTCATTCTATCCTTCTATACTTAATATCTAAATTACCATCATATCCTTATGTATTTAAATCTCTAAATTACATCTAAAATCACTTTTAGTTATATATTCCCTATATATAAATGTCAATTTTTATGAAATTTTTTGATTGATTATATTACTCTTAAAAAATGTATACATTATTATAAGTTTTAACAAATATTCAAAAAAGCCTTCAAAAATTTCATCAAATAATATTACTCACCTTATGACTACATATTTATATTTTATTTTTCATCAAAATGTTTAATCCTTTCATTTTTAAGATAAAAAATAATGTATATATAGTTTTATGTGATTTTTTAGTCGCAATAAACTTTTCAGACTTTGTTAAGATTTTATGTGAAATTTTTTTTTTTTTAAATTTAATATGTTTTATAATATATATTATAGCATTGTATATTAAATTTGATTCCAATTAATCTAAATAATCCTAAATACAGTAAGATTCTAATATGATTGGTATATTGATAACTATTTTTTTTATTCAATGATTTATAAATAGAATTTTAATCAAATTAATTTTCTAATTATCTATTCTCTATTTATAAATGTTAATTTTTATGAAACTTTTTGATTGATTATATTATTCTTAAAAAATATGTGCATTATTTTACATTTTAACAAAATTTTCACAAACTCCATCAATATAATAATATTCATCTCATTTATAAAGATAATATTATAATTACATATGTATATTTTATTTTTCATTAAAATGTTTAACTATTTTATTTTTAAAATAAAAAATAATGTATATATAGTTTTACATGATTTTTTAGTCGCAGTAAAATTTTTAAATTGTGTTAACATTTTATGTGAATTTTTTAAAAATTTTAATATGCTTTATAATATATATTATGGCGCTGTATGTTAAATTTCATCTTAATTGACCTAACTAATCCTAAATACAGTAAGTTCCAATACGATTGGTATATTGATAATTATTTTTATTTTATTCAATGATTTATAAGTGGAATCTTAATCAAATTAATTTTAAAAAATTTAATTTTCAAACATCACTAAGAAATTACTATAATTACAAAATTGTAGAAATAAAATAGAACTTTAATTATTTTTTTATGATTTTTTCTTAAAGTTAGAACAATAACTCTTGAAAATATACAAAATTTTTAAAAATTTTATAGTAGAGCATGAGAGATGAAAAATATATTTGGTAAATTTGAGATCATATTTAATTCAAGTACTCATATACCAAATATTTACTTATTAATTTTTGTTTAAGAAAAATTATTCACGTGCAACACACGTGGTGCATTGCTAGTTCCCTAAAAGGCTTCATCAACTTCAAATGAAAATCAAAACCATAATGTAGTTCAAAAACATCATGTTGGGTGACAGGTATCCGATTATGTTGGAACTAGAGCAGCCGTACTTTTTTCTACCAAAAGCCAAACTCAAAAACTGAAGTATAGAATTTTCACAATGTTATGCACCAAATGAAGTTTTTTGAGTCCTATACCAACCAGCAACGAGGCATTTCAAAAACTTCATGTAGACTCACATGACACATAAATCCTTCTAGTTCATATGCTTTTTTGTATGCTCAACTTATAGTATGAAGTTTATGGATGACTAATCTCATTTTGTTCTTGCAGTGGTGATCATGACATGGTTATTCCATACATTGGTACATTAGAATGGATAAAGTCTCTTAATCTAACTGTCAATGACAATTGGAGACCATGGTTTGTCAATGGTCAAGTTGCGGGGTCGGTTTCTAAATTTGCAGACTTTTAATAACAAACTCTTTCTTAAGGTATTCCTTAATGGTTTTACCTCAAAAATATACTTCTCACAATTGCAATGTTCTTTTCTTTTTTGCAGATTCACAGAAAAGTACAGGCATTATGAGTTTGCTCTAACATTTGCAACCGTAATGGTAAGCATTTCTTACTCAATTCCTTCGCCTTAAAATGCAAAGAAGAAGCTTGGGACAAAAAAATGATATATTCTTTTTTTTTTTTGCAGGGAGCGGGTCATACAGCTCCACAGTACAAGCCTAAGCAATGTTTTGCCATGGTTGAAAGGTGGTTCTCTCAGTATCAGTTGTAACTTACCAAAACATGTCACCTATTTTATTCAGAAAATAAATGTTTTACAATGGAGAAAATCTCATGTATGTTTAATCAATGAATTTCAAAGAATGTCGGTGTTATTGAGCAATCATAACATCTACAAAATTTGACTGTTGTGAGTACAGTTTTTGAGATTCATGTAGATGAATCTTGTTGCAAATATAACATCCATGAAAGTAGGCATTGCAAACCAAACTCATGTGATTTTCCCATAATAAGAAGTGTATATAGGAAGAATGCAATTAAGGGTATAGATTCACAGGGAAAAGAAGCAGGCAAAATCATTCAACACGATGTGAAAAATATGATATTTGAATGGGTAATGTGAAAAAAAAAAAAAAAAACATAGTTATGGGGGTGATAGTGTGGTTTGCTCCAATAAGAAAATTGTTTATGAAATAATACAAGTACCCCTTCACTCTTCGTCACGTGATGTTGCATAAACATTCCTTTATAGATAGAGATAGTCTTCCCTAGTCCTTTTCTTAATTCTCTATCGAAATAAAAAGATATATAACTATTATGATATTTCAATCTAAATTTAACCAACATCTCACTACTTCAATTGTTAAAACTGCTTAAACCCTTCGTCAATCCGTGTCTTGTCCAATTGTGACAAGCTTTGATAACCCATAGTTTGATCTTACTCTAATATGCAAGGAAAAGTACAAATGCTGGCTCACACCTACTCACATCGACACATTAGTCACAACCCCTTTCTCTTTTAACTTAAATTGACACTATATGTCATGTAGCTTGGAGTTTCTTGATCATTTCAATTATTTGGCGCACTAAGCACACCTCAACCTTCCTCAGTGGGCCTGAGGCAGCAGAAATGTCACCTTAGACAAAGGCTGTTAAGAATTGGGGAACAACTAGCTGTGTCAGGGGAGATCAAACTAGCCAAAGAATTACATTCTTGGAGACGGGGGTGGTTCAATACAAGTAGACGTCATAGGCCAAAGTGTTAAATTGTGTCCTATTTGTTAAAAGATTTTCAAAATAAAGTCTTTTATGAGTGAAAGTTTTGTGAAAAACTCATGTTTTGAGAAGGTGAAAAAGTGTCTTTGACTCCAATCTAACATCGGAAGAATGGGACCCACTCTTCAGAAAAATTATTACTTATTACCAATTTCTTAGCAAAACAAACTAGTTTTATTGTTTCCTTTCGTCGTATTTTGAAAAAGTAATACACAAAGTGTTATATCCTTTGCATAGAGGTAACAATTTCTAACTCAAACACAACTCGAATTCAATACGAATTTAATTAATTAAAATCTATTATAATTCGACATGATTATGTAGTAGGACATGTCAACCAAATATGACTTGCAAAACTAAACATATCTCAATGGATCGTGTTCAGGTTAAACATATTATAATCGTGATGGATTAGTGTTTGATTTTTCGATACTATTATTTATTTGGTCATCTTCAGGTTAGGGTTGTTTGATACGAACTCGAAATGATATAATCTAAACTCGACACAACTTAACTCGATTGTCACCCTAACTTTCCAAGAGTTTGAAGATCAATCACAACTAAAAGTGCGAGTCCCGCCAAAAGAGTGGGTTTACTGTCAATGTTCGACTTCGACTACCCCCCCCCCCCCCCCCCAAGTCATTTGGTCTTTGGAACGTTAGGTACAACCATGTGGTCTCTACATTAAACTATTCCTACAACCTGTGAGACAATGTTTTGTACGTCGACGACAAACTTTTCCTAATCATAATTCACCTAAACATACCTAAGGTACGTATGCATGTGGGCAAATTACATTTTGATTATTTTACATTACTCGAATAGCGTATGTAATCTTTTTAAACAAAAATTATTGGCGTGTCGGGACATTAATAGTTTGAGCAACATGAAACTGATCACGTGATTGAGAGTGTAATGTAAAAAACATGGTAGTAGAGGGTGCAATATTTAAAAAAAAAAAACACATCCTATCCACGAGTTTGATGTTTTTCAACTTTTTCTGGTAAGGGGGTACGCATGCCAAATGGATAATGGTTAATATCTCAAAATTTGAAGTTTAATAGAGATATGCTGACTCTCGATGTGCGTACTTTGTGAGTCATTATTCAAAGTGAGTGATATAATGAGCAGAAGACCAAAAAAAAAAAAGAGACAAAAACAAAAAACCAAATAAGGATGATTGTATCATTGTCAAATGACCTTATCTATACTCAGCCGTGGGAAAATTGGTCTCCTCTTGTATGTGTTCATTTTAGCTTACAAATAACATTTTTGGTGGTATGTGGGTATTGTCGGTTTGGTCTTTAAAATATTTAATTTGTGTTTAAATAATCTTTGAAGTGGTCACGTGTTTTCGTTAAAAAAATATTTAATTTAATGTACCGTTTAGTTAAGGACCATTTAAATACAAATTGAATATTTTAGGTACTAAATTGATAAAATTCATACATTGAGTACTAAACTAAAAGCATCTCCAACAATGCAATCTAAAATAGTTATTCAATATATATTTAAATATTATATTATCTATTTTAGTTAATCACTCTTTCAAATTCACTCTAACAACGCTATCTATTTTAGTTAACCACTTCAACTAACTTTACCTAACTTTTAATAATAAAATTCAAAAAATAACAATTCAACTATATATTGTACAAATTTAATCAATTATAAGTTACAAGAGAGAACCCACCTCCCGAAAATTACTACTCTCAAACTAAATTCTCTCAAATTAAATCACAATATCCAAAACAAAATCACCTCAAAACTTTTGAGTTTGATCGAAAACTTCTGAAGGCTTCGAGTTTGATTAAACTAGATGTTATCGTCTCTCCATCAATTGCCTCATCCAAGCACTGGACCAACAACTACTTAAGTAGTTAGAGAGAAGTGGCTAGATAGATGTAGCTAGTGAAAATGGGGTTATGGAAAATAGATAGAGAAATAGTTAGCCTATTGGAACCATATTTTATGGAGAAACTATCTAAAATAGTTAAAAATGGAGTTTTAGCTAGCCTTTTAGAGTTGCTCTAACAAAATACGCATTTTTTAAGAACTAAAAACTCTATTAACACTACATTTTATCAAGCATTAAACGAACATAGCTTACCTACAGTTGTGTGAAAACGTTGAAACTCACGACTGGTGAGTAAGAGATGGCACCACAAGCACCTTTAGCTGCAGCTGATTGGCTACGACTAAGTTGTGTGCTCACTCTCTTTCTTCTCTTCAACACTGCTGCATCAAAGTCGATTGTCAAGGCACTACCCGGGTATTCGGGTGATCTACCATTTAAACTTGAAACTGGGTGAGCTTTTCTGCTGTTGAATTTGCAAACATGCAGTTTTTGTGTTTTTTTTTTTTGGTTTCCAAAAACCTAAATTTGATGTCATATCCAATGAAACAGCCAATACTTTCAAAACAAATCAATGAATGAATACAGAAATTCTCATATTTCGAGGTGTTTCGGAATATTTTGAATGTATTTTGATATGTCTCGGTTATGTTTCAGAAATAAACTTTTAAATATTTTCTCTGTTTCTCTCCTATTTTTGAAATATGTTCAAAACATTTTCAAACTATTTCTGTTTATAATGGACCGAAACGAAATTTTATTCATTTATTTTTCCATTAGTAAAAAATATTATGTTTATAAAGTTGGAGAAGGAGTTATGATCTTGATTTTGGGTTTGTGTATGTAGATATGTGAGTGTGGGGGAAAGGGATGATGTGCAGCTATTCTACTATTTCATTGAGTCAGAGAGTAACCCTGTCAAAGACCCTCTTGTTCTTTGGATCACTGGAGGCCCCGGTTGTTCTGCTTTCTCTGGTCTTGTTTACGAAATTGGTATGTGTTTCGTGCATTTAAAAGAGTTTATAAGAGAACAGAGGAAACGGGGAAGACTTGCTATACACAAAACTGTGGTACCATATAACTTTTATGGGGTACACAGTACAAGTTCAAATCAAACAGAATAGAGTCCAAGCGTTCCTCTTTGTATCATAAGTATGTTAGAAAGTTTCGATTTCAGAATGTCTGATCATCATAAGCTCGTTTAATAACCTAAATTCTATCTCTAATACAATCCGGGGTGCCGCTAACACTTCTGTTCTAAACTCTCTCTAGGTCCTTTAATTTACGATGTTCCAGCTTTCAATGGGAGCTTACCGACATTCCTTCTGAATTCATACGCATGGACAAAGGTATCATCACGTCTCAATGCACTGGTTTGGAGGATTCTATTCACTCTTGTTTCCACATATTAAGATTAATATTTTTCAGATCGCCAACATTATATTCTTAGACACGCCTGTGGGCACTGACTTCTCCTATGCAACTACCCCCGAAGGTTACTACTCCTCAGACATAGAAACAGCAAAAGAAACATATAGTTTTCTTAGGAAGGTGAGTGAAAAAACTTAGAGCAGAAAGTAAATGTTATTCTGTTTGATTATAGAAGTTGAAAGCAATAGTAGCAATGTTAGACCAAATACTGGCAAACATATGAATATAAGTTGAGTATTAACGATCCTTAACAATGCAGTGGTTGTTGGATCACCCCAAGTTCTCCACAAATAACCTTTACATTGCCGGTGACTCCTACTCTGGCATACTTGTTCCAATGATCGTTTCAGAAATATCGAATGGTGATTTATGTTTATCTAAGTTTGTTTGTTTTTTCTAAAGGTTTTTGCGCAAAATTTCTAAAATTATGATGTTGCAGGCAACGAAGATGGACACATGTCACGCATGTCTCTCGAGGTGAATGGTCTAACTATAACTAGTAGCATGTTTAGTCTCTACGTAGTATACTTAGTTTTCCACATATTCCAAACAATTAATATTCATTCTTTTGAGCAATGTGAATTGTTGGAGGGTAATTTATTTTTTTGAAATTGAGTCAGGGGTACTTGCTTGGAAATCCAGCAACATATATCCACAATGATCAAAATTCAAAAATCACATACACTCATCGAATGGGACTTATATCGGATGAATACTACGAGGTGATTTAACCACTCTCTCTTAGTTTCCTTCTTAATGATGCCACTGACTCTAAGAAACATTAGCAGTCATCAATTTGAAATACCTGCTTGTACTTTCTCAGAGAGCCAAAAGCAGCTGTCAAGATGAATATGTCGATCCAGATCCAAACAATGCACAATGCATCTATTATCTTCGACTTATTAAAGAGGTAAGAGGTATATATTTGGGCTCGAAAAGAATACGTTTTTTTTTAAAAAAATTTTTAAGACATTAAGAACGGGTCACCACTTAAAATTGCAGTGCACTGGAAAATTAAATGAAGCACATATTTTGGAACCCAAATGTGGTTCGACAGCACCAAAACCAGATCAATTGAAATTGGGTCTGAGATTCTTTGAAGACATTTCCATGGATATTCTCTTCTTACCATCTCAACAAGAGGAAATGTGGTGCAGGGTAATCACCTCTCTCTCTCTCTCTCTCTCTCTCTCTAAATATAGGAGAATCTTTTTGTAACCTTTAGTATAGGAATGGTAGTGGACCGGGGGGCAGGGGCGGGGGTGGGGGTGGGAGCAGGAGCTGGGGGAATAGTCTCCACCCCGTACTCACTTAAAAAATATTTGTTCAATTTCCGGCACATCCCCGTTAATGGAAGAAGTTTTAATCCCCGCCCTTGTCACCCGTCCATAACAATTAATTTCTATAGATAGTCAATGAAGAATCTAATTCCATTGAAAAATTACCAACTCAATCATCTCTAAAAAAATAAAAAAATTGTCATCCCTACTTTAGTGTGCCGTCCACAAATTTATATAGCTAATGTGTGACTGATTTATTTATTTGCAGAAGTATAATTATGTGCTCTCTTATGTCTGGGCAAATGATCCAGCAGTTCAACAAGCTCTTCAAATTCGACAGGTGAGTAAAACTCAACTAACAATATCTAAGTTTCGAACACTTCTGAAAAATAATTTCAAGCAATCTTTTGTTAAACAATCAGGGAACAAAAACTGAATGGAAAAGGTGCAATAAAACCTTATCTTTTGAAGAAGATGTAGAAAATGTTGTCGAGTGTCACCAGTTTCTTAGTACGAAAGGATATCGAGCACTAATATACAGGTAACATGTTGTCACAATCTCACTCTTTTGATTTTTTTAATAATTGTAAGGATTCACAAAGAATCAGATCAAGCTTATATTCATTAAGGCATTCATTCATTATTTTGAATATAAATCAAAACTATAGTGCAATTTTGTAGCTATCCTATTTTGTGTGATCTAGTGTAGCCATGCTCAGATTTTTGCAACAGAGGAAAGATACTTTGGCTTTTAATGAATGTGTCTTTGGTCATATACCCACCAAGAACTCTGTATTGGATTAGGGTTTTGTTATCCGCAAAGGTCTTGAATCTCCTTAAAGAGCGAGATACCCGCGTCTCAGCCTGAGTTGTTTCCTATCAAATTTTTATTATTTTATATTTTACTTCTCAATTTGTGTAATTACACCAACACATTGCACATAAATATTTTTAGTCGTACGCTTATTTATATGCTCAACAACATGGAGTTTACTAACAAATAATCTCATTATTTCTTTGCAGTGGTGATCATGATATGGTTATGCCATACATTGGTACATTAGAATGGATAAGTTTGCTTAATTTGACTGTCGATGACAATTGGAGACCATGGTTTGTCGATGATCAAGTTGCAGGGTCAGTTTTTGAAATTACGATCTTTTTAGTAACAAATTCTTTCTTAAGATTTTTCTTAATGGTTTGATCATAAAAATCTATTTCTTACTATTGCTATATTATTCTGTTTTCTACAGATTCGCAGAAAAATATAGGAAAAATGAATTTACTCTAACATTTGTGACTGTAAAGGCAAAAAATAGATTGCAGGATCGGGGTGTTCTCGTAGAAGTTATTTTTTTAGCTGTTCATAGAAGCTATTTATTTGTCCATAATTTTACAACAATAATACTCATATGAAGGATAAGGAAACAAACCTAATATGATTAGATTTTGTTAAATTGATTAAATTATCAAATCGAGCTTGAGCAATGTCTCATTCAACTCGATAGCTCCCTTAACATGATGAATTCAAAAAAATTGAGTTTAAATTTGATCTGAGTGTTATTTTTCGATTTTCCTAAGTCTATGCCCAAATCCGAGCCCCTAATATAAAATAACTAAGTAAAGTCGAATTAAATTTGAAGATATAATCAAAAAATGGGACAGTGCTTATACATAGTAAGGTCGGCAAACTTGAAAGTTTCTTTTATGAACTTTTTGTCTGAACATATAACCCCATAAAAGTGGTAAAGAGAAAACTTTGCTTAGACTTTATTTTTTTTTTTTTTTTTTTTAGTTTAAGCAGTCAGAAGTCTTCGGACTAATTTATGTGTACTTTGACTAATTTTTTCTTTAGTCCGATCAAAAACGGACTATCCACGTTAGAACTCAGGTATTCATGAGAGATAATTTTCTCATAACTTAATCACAAAGAGTTATTAAAATCCGAATTCAAGATTTCTAAATTTATAACACGTCTCTACTATCACGTAAATTAAATAAGAAAGAAATGTCGGAAACAAATCTGAATGTGGGTTTAACTAGCAAAAAGGTTTGTACAATTTGACAAAGCATGAAAGGCCGTTATGGTATTTCACAAATTAAGTATTCCCTTCTGTACAATTATACAAATCTTGGGGGACCCTTGTGTAATTTATGGGTATATCATATATTTCCGCCCACCCTCAAAATCTGTCGGAATCCAATCTGATAGATATAGCACATCAAAGAAGTGAGTTTGAGAGAGAGGAGTGGATCGACATGAGAGGGCCATACCCACAGCCACCAACATCAGTCACCCTTCTACCAGAAGACGGTGACGATGGCCTCAAAACCACCACCCCCGCCACCACAACCGCCGTCACCGGACTCCGTAAAAAGGCGACGGGAGTCCGTCCCTGGCTTTCCCTAGACTCCACCGGCCAAACTCAGGTGGTGGAGGCAGGCAAGCACGCCATCATGCGGCGCACGGGCCTTCCGGCCCGCGACCTCCGCATTCTGGACCCACTCCTCTCTTACCCCTCCACAATTCTTGGCCGTGAACGGGCCATCGTCATCAATCTCGAGCACATTAAGGCCATCATTACCGCCCATGAAGTCCTCTTACTCAATTCCAGAGACCCTTCTGTCATACCTTTCGTTGAGGAGCTTCAACGGAGAATCTTGCGCCACCACCACGCCACCAAAGCTCAGGTTCCTCTCTTTTTTGCTTGTTGGATGCTCAGGTTCCTCTCTCATTCTTAAACTGAATTGCCATAAATTTTCACTACTTCTTATGAACATTGCCACTGTCACTGTCTCACCATTGATTCAAAATTGGAGAAAATTCATGTTCTTGTCTTGATTTTTGGGGGAAAAACCGATGTTCTTGTTTAGACTTTTTGCTGAAAAATCCATTTTCTTTTCTTGATTTTGGGGGAAAACCCATATTCTTGTCTTGATTTTTGGGGAAATCCATATTATTGTCTTGATTTTTGTTTAATTTTCTGTGGCAAAAAACTGATGGTAAAGGAGGGAGGGGTGAATGGAAATGATACAAACTGGGCGAATTTGTATGATGGGGAAGAGCCAAAATCAGGGGCAGTTGGCCCTCGAAAATTTTCCGGCGGCTTCCCGGAGAAGAGAGAGGAGGGTAAGGCAGATGTAAAACAAACACTGGAAAATCGAGATGGGCTGAAGCTTCTTCCCTTTGAGTTTGTTGCATTGGAGGCGTGTCTTGAGGCTGCTTGCAGTTCCTTGGACAATGAAGTAAGAGAAACACATACCTTCTCGTTGCTTGAAATTAATTTCATCGTTTTAATCATCGCTTTTCTTGTTTTTTAAGTCGTTTTTTTTATTTGTTACCATGTTTTTTTCATTTATTTTGAGGTAGGCAAGGACATTGGAGCAAGAAGCTCATCCGGCCCTGGATAAGCTGACTTCAAAAATCAGTACTCTCAATTTGGAACGCGTTCGTCAGATAAAAAGCCGATTAGTTGCTATAACCGGACATGTGCAAAAGGTTTGGTTGATTCAGCTTGTAATTCTGATTTGAATGCATGATTTAAGTTTAGGTTGTCGATTATTTTGCTCTTAACTATTAGTTTTTGATCATCTTTAAATGGTGTTTATAAATAAATAAATTGAGGCCAAGCAAATTTTTTTTGGCATTATCTGTCGGTGAACTCTGCTTTTATACATCTGGCTTCAATCTTTGTGGTAGTTATTGAGTTCATTTCTACTTTTAAATGTATGGAGTTCAAAGCCAAGCATTCATGTAACTTTTTTAAGTTTGGTTTCAGTCCAATATGAAATTTGGAGATGCTTTGAAACAGAAAGGGAGCATTGACAACTTTTTAATATGATTTTTTGTAAGTGATGAGGCTATGATATAGTTGATGTAGGCTATATATATATATATATATATGTTCACATTGCACCACTTATAATAGTAAATGAGTATATGGCTAGAAAAATCACACCAGATTGAAACAGCAAAAAAAAATGATTAAATTTTTTAGTGCTTGGTTCTTGTATTTTTCTCAGCAAACAAATTACAACCCCATTTTTCAGACCTTGTCAGCTTCTGTGTGGACTTTTTTGAGCTCTCTGTCCGTGGGTAGGAGTCTTTTTTTTTCATGGATAAGCACCTTTACTCATTACGTCTTACAGGGAAACAAATTAAAGCCAATTTGGCAGACCTATGAGTATACCCTACTATGCCGTTCATGTGTCATTAACACTGAATAGTCATGGTTAATTGCACCGTCTCTCATGAACATGACTTCTTCTGATTTTTCCTAATAATCATGCACCCCTATTTATATACCAGGTCAGGGACGAGTTAGAGCATTTGCTAGATGATGATGAGGATATGGCTGAGATGTATCTGACTGAGAAGCTTGTGCAACAACAAATTGAAAATTCTTCTCTTTCTTCTATAAATGATCAAGATGGCATGGATGATGAAGTACTTCAGTCAGACATGGATGGCAGGCATGTGATAGCTTTGCCTATTCCGTTGATAGTAGAATGACTCCTCCCCTTGTTCATGTTCTTCCTTTTCTATTCAGAACTTAAAGGCTGCAATGTATTTTTTGTAACATTTCAGAGTTCCTGCTGAAATCTCGTTGGAAAGTAATGGGGGTGCCATCATTTCTGAAGGTGATTTTCAACATATTGACAACCATCAGGAACTGCTATTTGGCGCACACAGTGTAATTAGTAGAGACATCCATGGGCCACATACAAGTACCACACGTAGTGCTATAAGCAAGCAACTTGATGTGGAGGAGCTTGAAATGCTCTTGGAGGCATATTTTGTTCAGATTGATGGTACCCTGAATAACCTATCCACTGTAAGCAGCTTAACCTCCTGCTCTAATTACTAGTTGAGGAAACTTTGCCTTCATACTTAAAATTGACATATTGTTCCTGCCATTCATGCTTTTCTTTTAGTGGCTAATTTGGTCAAGGCTTGCATTATTCTTTTTGCTTTTATTTTGGAAGTGTTGTGCAAGAATGTGGGACACGGTTAGGGCAAGCCCCTTTAGACTACGTACTTATCATTGAATATATAAATGACTCTAGTGACCCCTCACATTTCACACATAACCATCTCTCTCCTGTGTCTCTCTTTCTGCTGAGACTCAACATTTATCAATGACTTGAATGTTTGACGAATCTCCATTCTGATCCATTGGTGGGCAGGATATTTTCTCTCCCTCAAATTACAATCACCAAGATAGTCTACCTACTTTCTTAAAATTTCTCATATAGTGGGTGACCTAAATGTGAATCTTGGAAAAAGACTTGTAAAGTCCTGCCATATCTCCAAGTGAGAAGAAGAATATAGGTCTTGAATTGTGAATGGTCTTTTTCTGAAAGAGATCCACATAAATGAGGGAAGAGTACCAAATGTTCGTATGACTTTTCTTCTCCGTCATACACTTGAAAATAGGGAATTCAATATCTTGGTGGATAATGTAATATATGTTGTTAACCCAATCAGGATGTGGAAATAGGTAACCATACTTAAAGAGAGGAAAGGCAGGCCTTGTTTGGTTCTTTTAGGTGTACATTCAGAGACGGATAAAATTGCTACTTACCCTTATTTTTATGTAAATGATCTAGTAGGTTGGGTAGCTTTTGCTATCTTTTCTTATTTGGATTTTTTATGCTCCTAATGTTTTGGGGCATCCCAACAATTATATACGTTTTATTGCTTTATACAGTCATTGATAATATTTCTTTGATAAAAGATAAGACATTCATACAAGTTCAATTGCCTTATGATACTACTACACTTGTTCACTGATCACCAAGATTCTTTATATTGACCATAACTCCTGATTACCTCCCGCTGTAGTAGTTTTTGCAAATTATGGCAATGTTTTGTGTATGACCTTTCAAGGAACACTTGGGGTATATTGTATATCAAGCCTAGTAAGGCTTCTTGTTATGTATGCATTTTGATGTTAACGAGGTACCTTGCCAGACATGACTTTTATGGGAAAGGATTCATGTACCTAGCTAGCATGTTCGAAGTATTCCAGAGGGTATTTCAGCTAAAGTTCCTTCTGATACAACCTCATGAGCCATGAGGCTGTTGTATGTGGTTATTATATCCATTTTTTTGGTGCCTTATTGCTAGACTAGTACTTTATTAAGTGTTTTTATAAATTGAGCCTGCAAATCTGACTATTACATGAAAATTTATTTTTCTGAGATTGTTTTAGTTTGTGTCCTACATTTCATTGACATTCTATCACTTGTGGTTCTATTGCAAGCTGAGGGAGTATGTTGATGACACAGAAGACTACATCAACATCATGCTGGATGACAAACAGAACCATCTCTTGCAAATGGGGGTCATGTTAACAACAGCAACCCTGGTGGTGAGTGCATTTGTTGTTGTAGCAGGCATTTTTGGTATGAATATCAAGGTTGATCTGTTCAAAGAAGAAAAGGCTGGGATGCAAGAGTTCCTCTGGACTGTTGGCGGCGGTGCCACTGGAAGCATTTTCTTATATGTGATTGCAATTTCCTGGTGTAAGCACAAAAGATTGCTGGATTGACTATATGCCATGTAATCTAGTGCCTGTTAGTTGTTATATATTGTTTTGTTTTTTATGTACTCAATAAAGAAAGTTGATTTTAGACAATTAAACCTGTAATTATTTGTAGATTTAAGATGCAGTTTATTTTCTCCTAGCACTTCTTCCTCCAAGATGAAGGTGTAAAAAAATTGCTATGCAATTAGGTATCTCCATTCCCTGTGTGCCCTACTTGCATTTTTCTCTCTATTTATCCCTAACGTAGAATATGTGATGTAAACTAGGAAGGGAATAATTAAGGATGAGAAAGAGAACAAGAAAGGGATGAGACAAAAGAAAGAATTTGAGGAGGAAGCAATATTAGTATTCAATAATAATTAAAGTCTAATCTAAATAAAATCCTTACATGCATCTTTTTTTGAAAACATTTTAAATTTCATGATCTTAATACTTAAATAATGTGAAGAATTTTCATAAAGATGCTGCTTTATCATTCATTATTATGTATAATTATAATATAATCTGTATTCATGTAGTACTTTCTTCTCAAGAGGAGAAGAATTTTATAGTTTGTGTGAGATTCTTGGAGCTGTAGAGTTGATAGATGTCATTAGGGCATGTAATTTTTATTAATATTACAAGCATAGTTGATAACTCCGCCTTATTCCTTGCATAGAAAATAAACATCTTGCAAAAAATCATGTCATCAGATGCATTCTCAACTTAACGTTTCTAAGTTTTATTTGGAACTTGGGAATCCTCCTAACCATGCACTTTTTGAATTCATAGTTGTAGTGCAAACCTTGGATACACGCAATTATCTACTAATCACATGTATCAGCCCCTTTCTTGACCATTGAATGCGAATTTTATGTTTCTAATTCCGAGATCAAGGGCACCTTGAACAAAAGTATGCTTATTCCTGTTTTTTGACCTTTTACTGGTGTGATTCAAATCCAATTTACCAAGTACACTCTCTGGATGTTCACCTTCACTGATTAACCCACATGCCTGTGGGCCTTTGGCAGAATTTTTTTTGAGTTATATGCCGGTCAGAAAAGTAGAATGCCAGAGATAAGGACTGGAAACCTTCAACAGCTTTTTAAGAAGAAGACTGTTGTCATGTGTAATGAGAACAGTCTTATGTGAAAATTGAATTGGACACAGGGAATGATATTATTTAATCTGAGGACTTTGTTTTGGAGGTAGTTGGTAAGGCAAAGATGTTTTTCCCATACCATCTTAGATTGTTATGAACATGATTGAGTCAATAAAGCAAAGCCTAGCCATATCTTTTTGTATGCTTGTTTACTTTTTCTTTAGCTTCCTTTCATTCTTTTGACTTACAGGAAAACTCCATTGCTGAACCTGATATTTAAAAATGGAAGAGCAGGTTTGTTGAGCTTAGCATTTGACATTCTATATTCTAAGAGTATGCTTCTCTTCTTCTTTATAATTTTCTGTCACTAAAAACTTGTTCCTTATGGGAATTGGAATTTATCTTGAACAGTTAAATGAATAAAGAAATAAAGGTTGGTTCTAAAGCCATTGTAAATGCAATAAAATCTCGCTATAAAAGAGAATCTTATGCACTTGATACGTTTCTTTTAATTGAAATGAGTAAAGAAATCGATGAAAAATTATATAATGAATGACATAAAGTCCAATGACAGCTTCAAAACAGACAGAATTGAAGGGAGCAAAAATACTAACATAAAGTATATGTACATATATTTGTATAATAAGATCCTTCCAAATGAGATAAAGAGGCCATATTAATAAATGGAGCATGTTGCACTGGGTCAGGAAGAACTCAGGCAGGATCTCTGGACTTTAAAAAAGGGTCATCAAAGATGCAAGTGAAATATTCCAATATCAACTTTGGCATTCCCTCCTCATCTCCTGTATTCTAAGCTTACTTCCCATCACTCCTTGAAACTTTTACTATCCTGTCTCATTCTTTTGTGCTTCTGTTAAACCCAAAATTTTGAATCATCTTGAGAAGGAAAAACAATCAGGATGGAGCCTTCTTGTCTGGACAATAAGAGACATTGAGGTCTTGTCTATATTATCTTTTTCCAAAGTTAGGTTTAACTTGTACGGATATATGGAAATGGAAAGAATCCCACCTAACCCAAACAATATCTATTTAACCTGTGTTTGGGACTTCAATTTACCCTTAGTTATCTCTTTCACCAATGCAACTCAGGATTAGTTTGAATATGACTGAAAACATAGTCAATAAACATGTCAAATTGATAGATGTGAGGAAAATTTGCCATGAACTCGTACAATTTGATTTAAGTATGCAAACAACATTTTCCCCACATGCGAGGTAATGCTCCTTGTATCTGACCATACCGGGTCGCCTTTTTGGTACTTTCCCCTGCTATTTAGAAGTAAACAATGGGTTCATTCTCAAGTAGTTAGTTTCTGATATATTTGTTTGCTCTGTGAAGAATTTTATTCTTTTTGAAGCATTAATATCTATGCCTTTAAATGTAGTTAGCTGGACAAAGTTTTGAGATTTTCCCAGTGCTGAAATTAGGAGAACATGGGTTTCCATGTGGAAGGGCTGGTCATGGTTGCACACAGAATGCCCAAAAAAGGCTCAGAGCTCAAAAGTGACTACTATTCATTGACAAGAAGATTTAATTCTGAGAAACAGGGAATTTATTTCCCACTTTTTGCTCTCTGGTTGTTTCCCACTGCATTGACAGGAAAAAAAGAAAACAAGACCCACTTTGAGATCCAGAAGCTTTGGAAACTCTCCTACCAGCTCTTTCTAAACAACTTCAACAACAGCAGCAGTTGTGATGGATATCACTTCATCTCATCCCCACCTCCTCTGAAACCAGCTGCTGAAAATTCAATATCATTTACACAAGACAAAACTATTAGATACCTAGGCAACTTTATTTTTTATATTTTTTTAGGGTTAACGAGGAATCATCCTAGCCACGTGTCTTATAGACTCACGATTGCTACATAAATCTCGGATGCACGTAATGACCTGGAAGTATTGTTATGTGCATTAGTATGAAGACCAAAATCAGTAACTTAACTGGTTTTGCTGCAGTTGGTTTCCAGACAGAGAAGACTGGAAGAACCCAACATGCCCTTGAAATGCAGATCTTCCCTGCTAGATATCTATGGATGGTTAGCGAATATAAAATAAGTAGCTATATTTGATTTTTCCCAGAAAGAAATGTGTTAAAATACCTCAAAGTGAGTTGTAGAATAGCCCTGTGAAAAATCTAGACTCTCCATTGAAGCCTGGTTTGTCTGGGAGGGTGCAATTCTTCTGTTAAATTGTCAAGAACCCTTGTGGCTTGTTCATTGAAGCAATACAAAATACTTGAGCAATATGTAATGGCAACAATGTTCATTGCTGTTAGGTGAACTCACCTTGGAGAAGTTGAAGAGAGTAGAACTAGCAGTATCATCAAGGAAAGACTGCTGTTCTTGAAACTTTCGACGTCGACTTTCCTTTTTTTTCTTCTTTCTGGCAATGTTCTTAGGCAATGTGGCATCAATGGGTGGATGGTAAAAGCACCTCTTATCATCATTGACATCATCTTCATCGTCATGGTGATGTGGGGGACCCGAAGAAGCATCAGAGACCATGGACAAGTCCTCTTCTTCATCCTTATATTTTGGTCTTTTTTCTTCAATGACAAGATGATCTTTTCCATTGGCTCTATGTGAAGGTTGTTGATAAAGGAAAGAGTGCTCCAAGTACAGAGTCCAACCAGACTCGCATCCACTACTGTATTGTGAAGCCAACACCTCATGATTCATTGTTTGAGACCTTTGTGAATGAAATATCTGTGTGGGGTTCTCTCCTACTGAATTCTTTTATCCACAAGAGAGCTGAGTAATTGTATATTACTCTCTCTCTCTCTCTCTCTCTCTAGTATGGGACTTAGTGTGTGTGTCTATATGAAGTGTTGGAGTTGGATAGAAGAGTTGAGTGGAGGATAAACCAAAAGCGAATCAGACTCAAATCCTAGACTTGGTTTGTCCTGACTCTCCCCGTTCGGCTCTCAATGTGAATGAATCAAAAAACTGCCAGTTGGTTGGCTTTTATGGGAAGATACGTATGTAGGCATGTGTGTGTGTGTGTGTGAGAGAGAGAGAGAGAGAGAGAGAGAGAGAGAACAGCATTACTGCTCAAGGGGATAGGTGTACAAATACTGAGGAAGGGAAGATGGATGTGTACCCTGTTTTGTTAAGAGCGTACACAGTGCCTCGCTGTACAGCATGTGAAGGCGTTGTGGCTCTGGTCCTTTCCACAACCCTCTCTCTCTCTCTCTCTCTCTCTCTCTCTCCCCCAAGTTACAATTTCCTTTCTTCATCTTTGATTAATAGTGTCTCGTATTAGCAGCTTAAAAGTATTATCTTGTGCTCAGAGAAGAAATAGAGTAATTGAGAGACAAAAAACGCTAGAGAATTCAGCCTAAATGATGCACTACATTGTGTTGAAAACCTTAGCTCTGCTTAGTTTATGTTAGTTTATGTCACCAAAAAATATTGGAATAGTAGAAAACTATTTTTAGTATTTTTTGTGTCGTAGAACTTGTTTGATTATATGATTTCAAAAATAATTCTACAAAATAAAAAATATTAAAACTTATTTGGACGATAAACTAAAAAACAATGAAAACAAAAATGTTGTGGTGGTGATGGTGGTGGTGGTGGTTTTGGGGTAGTGGTGGTGTGGTGGACGTGGTAGTGGTGGTGGTGATGATGGTATTTTTTAAATTTTAGAAAAGTTGTTTCAAAAAATACAAAAATTAATTTTAACGTATTCTCTAAATTTATCCAATTTTTATTCTAAGTTTTCAAAAAATAAATAGTCAAATAATTTTTCTTTCAGAAATTATTTCCGAAAATATAAAACAGTTTCTGATATTTCAAAGATGGTTTGAACACCTAACCTTTTAACAATATTTGCATCGAGGAGTAGTTCTCGAACTCAAACTTACACCGAAAAGAATACTAGATATACTTCTTTAGAATAAAGGGTGGCTATGAGCGTTATATTAAAAGTGTTCTATTTTGACATAAATATCACAATAGTCTCGAAAACGGACCAAGTAATTATAATATTATATACATCCTATTTTATCAAATCCGACTATCAACTTAATATGCCCTGCACTTACTTACGTCTTGGGCCCGAATTTTTTTTTTTTTTTTTCTTTTTAAAAAATATCCGAGCGTAATTAAGACATAAAATCACTCTGAATTTATGATAACATTTTTTGTATTATTATATTCAGCGTGCAATTACATAATCTTTTTTCAATCAGTTAAAATATTTTTGATATAACATAAAAAAAATATAATAGCAGTCTCGATGTCCATCGTCTTTTCAGCTTGTCCTTCTATCTAACTTCATATTTCTGAAAAATGTTAGATATGGATGAGCTCACCAGCCCAATAGGATATCGTTTATCGATGACTATCAAGGTTTTAAAGCAATACATACTATAATTAAAACAGCAGATAAATGCAAGAATTAGGCAAAGTAATGAATCAATTAAATAAATAACTTTCAGCACATATCGATCATATAAATTCGTAAATTTTTTGGTCCACGCATGAACCGCCTCCGGAGAAAAATTTTGGGGTCTCGCACCCTAGGGAACCCGATGCCCTTCTTGCTTTTCTACGAATACCAATACCGGGAATTTTGTAGTGCCACACAAACTACCACAACAACCGATATTACTAACTAGTGAACTCAAAGACTAGTAGGAATACTGTAAATCCATGCAAGGATCGCGCATCTACTAACCATTTGCCCTCAATTATGTGCATTCATAATAATTTCTTAAAAATTACAAAAATAAAGTCATATCGTAATCAGATCCCACAACAAATCAAACATTAAGAAATAAATATAAAAAAAAACATTTATTATGTAACGTGGTTTCATAATATAATTAGGGTCTCGATAAAAATACAACATATGCATGATCACAATTTATTTATAAAACTCCAGTTTGACCCCATGATTATAGCAATATAATATTACATTATATACTTAAAAATATATTGATATGAAACCCTCAAATATACATGAAATGCATGAATGATAATAAAAGATAAAAGAAATCCTATCTCTTAATCACAAAATTACACTCTTAGGTCGACAAAATTTTGATATTTACTTTTCTTTTTTTCCCTTTCGCTTCTTTCCCTTCCATTCTTCCTCCCTCTCCCTTCCTTTCTTCTCCTTGGTGTGACGTTTGATGGGCCAGATGATGGCTATTTATAGCCAAATCCTTGGCTTCCTTACTCATGGCTGACGCCATTTATTTGCCTCACCTAGTGTATCACATGGACAAATGTCCATTTCTTTATTCATAAGGTTTATTTTTCTTTCTAATAGACCATGTGTCTATTATATTTTTTTTTAACACCCTTGGCATTACATGACACATTTACAATATATACAAATACATATATATACACACACACATATATATAGAGATATATTTATTCATTATAGAATTACGAAATTTGACTTAAATTATAGTCATTTGACTTATTTTCGCGTGAAGAGTCTATATTTGAAATTCATTTGTTCATAAAAAAATCTCAATTATATAGAATCACTAGTTATTGTCTATGTCTGAAGGCACAAAATAAAAAAAAATAGTAAACAATAAATATATTTGTATTTATATTCAATAACCGTGGTGACGATGAGAGCGACGACAATGGTGGTAGTGATGGCGGTGGAGGTGGAGGTGGAGGTGGCAATGACGATGGTGGTGGAGGTGGCGGTGGTGGTAGTAGTGGCGATGACGACGGTGGTGGTGACAACAACGGTGCTAGTGGCGGTGGCGGCGATGGTGATGAAGGGTGGCGGTGGTGGCAATGGTGGCGACAATGGCCATGATGGTGATGGTGGTGGTGGCGGTGGTGGTAGAGATAGTGGTGGGACGGTTTCAAACACTATTTTTTAAAAAATATTTATGAGAAATAATTTTTAAAAGTTTTTCAAAAAAATCACTTCAAACACATCTTTAGGGATATATTTTTTGTATTAAATTGAGGGTGTTAATATTAGCCGTTACATTAATTTTAAAGTAAAATTTAAAGTGATCTCAACCACGAATAGCAAAAGTCATTTTATTTATCTTTTAAAATTTGAATTGTAAGCTATTTTATTATATAGATAATTAATGACCTAATTAGCGTGTCAATGATTAATTAATATACAGGTCCTCACATACTATATGCTTGGAACATCTTTTGTTAAGTAATTAAGAGAGTATTTTGTCTTACTAATTGTTCTTTGAAACCTAAACACAGAGAGAGAGAGAGAGAGAGAGAGAAAGAGAGAGTGGTAGACAATGTGTAATATCCCAAATTTAAAATATATATAATATTAATTTTTAGGTTAATTTGCAATATTTTTTTTAGAAAGGGATGTTAATGTATTTAATGAAATTGAGGACTTGTAGGGTTTCTTTTATATATATAGAGAGAGAGAGAGAGAAAGAGAGAAAAAAAAAAAGGAGGAAAAAGAAAGAAAGGGACTTGAATCCATCCAAAGTATGGATTGATGATTTTTCTTATGAGTTTTATATTCTTATTCAATTAATGGGTGTAGGGTTTATAATGTTTGTGTATATATATATATAGGTCTCATGGTACTTTATTAATTATTGAAGTTATTAGGTTGATCTTTAAGTTTATAGTTATTTGGAATTGATTGAGTTCAATCAATGTGTTGGGAAGAAAAAAAAAAAAGGAAAAGGAAGTATATTGGTTCAAGTTCAGCCGCGGGAAGAAGAAGGCCAAATCCAAAAAAAATATAGAAAGCTCCCCTTTAGTTTCAAGGAGTTTTATTTTAACCCCTTTATTCTTCTAAACTTAATTTTAAATTCTTTTTTACTTGATAAGTTGCAAGAACAGAATTCTAGAAAATTTATGGCAAGCCCGAAAGCAGAAAATTCGTTTTTTAAGGAAATTACACTTTGGCCCCAAATATTTTAAAAAATATGATTTGACCCCAAAACTTTAGAAAAAAATTTTAAACAGTCCATAATACTTTCATACCCTATTATCTCATATTATAAAGGATATTTATATGTACAAGATATATTAAGTATATATCAATGGGTATGAGGTATAAAAATTAAATATAGAATTGCGAAACGACGAAATTAAAAATAGAGATTGATTGTTATATGTTATTTTGGATTAGGTGGTGATTGCATTGAGATTGAAAAGGAGTGCTTTGAATTAGATTTTGAAAATCAAGGTGAGTAGTTTATTACTTCTTTTGAGAGAATTTTCTATATTAAACTTGTGGGTTCGTGTGTGTGAATTTTTCATATATATGATATATGTTGATGTTTGGGGTTGCAATTAAATATTTTTGCAATTGTGAATTGTTACACATGTGAATTTGTAAAACTTATGAGATGATTTTATATTATTGCTTAAATGATTTTGGTGATGAAAGAGAAATTTTGTGTGCGATGGGACTAAAACAACAGTTTTAGTGTGTGTGTTGTTGAAATCATGTTTTATGAGAAAGGGACTGGGTTACCAGGTCTAAATGGTAACGAGATTGTATACCAGCGTGGTCGATATAGGAATGTGCACATAGGGGCCAATTATCAGGCTAGTGATAACAAAAGACAGGACCAGTCATCAGGTTAGTGATGACAAGAGATGAAACCAGTTACCAGGTTAGTGGTAACAAACATGATTTGACAAGTATATTTGAGACTAAATGTGTGTGTGAGTGTTTTGAGCTATAAATGTCTTTTCTTTTATAAAGTTATTATGATCATGAGATTATTTTGTTTACATGGTTATGTGAAAGGGATTGGGGTACAATTTATTGTATTTATGTATATAACAAAGTTTATTTATGTGTATATGAAATGTGGGATTTATTTTCAAACCTCATTAGAGGTGGTTGCTACTCACGGGCCTTTGTGCTCACCCAAATATTTAACATTTTTCAGATGAGGATCAAGAGGAAGAGTAAGTCCTCGGATAGACAAGAGATTAGAAGAATCGAAAATTTATTTTATTGTAGGTCTTCAGGGATAAATATTTTTTATAGTTTTGAGACAAATATTCAATTGTTTTGAGAACAATGTTGTTTTGTTTAAAGTAGTGAACCTTATGGATTAATTATTGTTTTACATGAGTTTAGTAATAATGTCAGTGATATTAGTTTATTTCTCTGGTATTCATTAGGTCGGTGAAAAGAATCACTTTATTATTTGTCTTCCGCTGTATTTTGTATTAATTATGCACATGGATGATTGGTTAAGGCCTTGGTGGCTGGTCCGCTGCTCACCCTATGTGATCCGGGGTGGGGGTGTGACACAATGACTGAATGAGACTGTACTATAGACTGTAGACTTACAGGAGCTTGGAGCGTCACTCCCACTAAATTGTGTCAATTTTATTCATGAACAGAAACTCGATATTTGGTATGATATAACTAAACTAGTTAATGCCTGTACCTGAAGGCACAGAATAATAAAAAAAAATGGTCAACAATAAATATATTTGTATTCACCTTTAAAATCAAATCATAAATATAGAGGAGAGAAAAAAGAATTTAAGCACTTGCTATAATGAGAGTGAGCTATAGTAGTGGAGGTGGATGGTAGTGGTGGTGTAGGGGTGGTGGTGAGACGCTAGGGGTAGTGGTGGTATGGGTGATGGTCGGACAGTGACGATGGTGGTAGGGTGGTGGTGGGGTGAAGGTGACAGTGGTGGGGGGGTAGTGGGGATGGTAGTGGTCGGGCAGTAAGAATGGTGGTGGCATGGCGACAATAGTAATGGCGACAATGGTGATAGTAGGGGGCAGTGGTAGTTGTTGTGGCAAACGTGGTGGTGGGGTGGCGACAGCGGTGGCAGTGATGGTAAAGTGGAGGTGACGGTGGTGGTTGAGGGTATAATGGAGATGGTGGTGGTCGTATGACAACGACGGTGATTGTAGGGGGTGGTATTGTGACGACAGCGATGATGGTAGTAAAGGGCGGGGGTTGTGGTAGTGGTGGTGTGGCGGTGGGTGGGGTGATGGTGGTGGGGTATTGACATTAGTGGTGGTGGTGGGGTGGCATGGTGGAGGTGATAATGGTAGTAATGATGATGGTGGGAGGTAGTTTGGTGGTGGGGCGGGGTGGCGGTAGTGGTAGTAATAGTAATGGTGGTGGGGGTGATGGTGGGGGGTGGGGGGGGTGGGGGTGGGGGTAAGGTGATTCCAAATACAACTTTTTAAAAAAAAGTATTTATGAGAAATTATAAGTATTAAAAATATTTTTAAAAAATCATCTCAAACACATCTTTAGAGACTTATTTTCCCTATTAAATTTAGAGTGTTAATATTAGTCGTTGAACTAATTCTAAAATAAAAGTGAAAGAGATTTTAACTGTAAATAGTAAAAATTATTTTATTTATCTTTTGAGATTTGAATTGTATTGTACTTTATTATATAGATAAATAGATTAAATTAAAATTAGATAAAAATAATACAACTAATTAATATTGTAAATAAAAAATAAATAATTTATATAATACAACACGAAGTGAAAATAAAAGGACTTATAATAAGAAGATTAAAAAATAACAACATAAATTGATACCCCTACCACCCCGGGCAATTGACTGTACTTTGCTGGATCCTTCCACACATGCCTTCACTCTCTCTCTCTCTCTCTCTCTACACGAACTCACACACACATGTATGCATGTGTGCACACACCTCAATCTAAATTGCTTTCCTTGAACTCTGTTTAATAGTGCTACTTGCCTCTGTTCTTTGGTTAGCTTCTTCCAATTCAAACTTCACTTTATCCCTTCTCGTTTAATTCATTCGTACATCACCCCACTCAGTTTTTTTTTTTTTTTTTATGGTAAAAAGGACTTAAAACAATTTGAATTAGAAGTCCCCCACTTCTCTTTCATTGTCTCTCTGCATCGACGTTGAACTCCATCTCTCTCTCTCTCTCTCTCTCTCTCTCTCTCTCTCTCAGAGTCACGGGCACCCACCTGTTGGTTGACAGGGGACGCAACCGACACCACGCACCTCTTGTGTCCGCTAATCAAGCACAACCACCCACCTCATCTTTATGTCAATAGTCACGGCACCCAACAGTCATCAACAGCAGAATCAATTTTTGAATATCAATGGCGAAATCAATTTTTGGAAAACAATTTCTTTCTTAGGCTATTTGAATGTCGTTAGGCATTGATTTCTGGATTGAATCTCAAATTTATTTCTTTACGCTTTCGATTTTTAATTCTGGAATTGAGATGTTGGATTTGTGGTTGATTTATTATATAGAGAGGAGGAAGGGAGAAGAAAGATAGAATGTTGAGTTTGTCGAAAAAGAAAGGGATGGTTGGCCAGGAAAGGGAATAAAATAAAATTTGTCCTACACTATCAAAAGGAAGGAAAAGATGTAAAAACAGGAAGGGGCATTCCGAGAATCGAACTCGGGACCTCTCGCACCCAAAGCGAGAATCATACCACTAGACCAAATGCCCAGGTTATTGTTATCTTCTCACTAAATAGTAGATAGCCAGTTCAAAACAGGGGCAACCCACTTGTTTAATGAATTTATCATCCTTTTAATAAAAACTTTGTAAAGACATTACTAGAAATATTTTCAGAAGGAACTAAATTGTAGAACAGTGGTGGAAACTTAAAAACAATTGCTCCAAAAATGGGAAAAACTTTCGAGTACAATTATATTTTTTAAAGGTATAGTTACAATTACTTGGGGTCATTCATGATCAGTAATAAAATATTGTAATTGATCATAAATAACCCCAATCAATTAAAAGATATTTTAAAATTGTATTTTGACCTTTATAAGCTGTAACTTGAATCATCGATCATAATATTTTGTGATTGATTATGTTTCTTATAGTTGTAACTTGTATTTCAAAAAATTATAAATTCACCTCAAAAAATTATAATTTTTTGAACAGCATGATACTTGATGATCCACAAATCGGTGTTGCACCAAATCAACAGTTGAGAATGTGAACGGGATAATCAATGAGTAATAAATAGGCAATTAATAATAAAATAGTAAATAATGAGCAAAACACAAAAATATATAGCGGTTCGGTTCAAGTGACCTACTCCATTCTCGAAAATGGCAGCGGTGGCCTGACTCTTTTATTAATGAATGAAATCGTCGGAGAGAGTATTCTCTATAAGTATTACAGTGCTTAAAGGGAGAGGGAGAGAGAAAAAATATGTGTAGAGATCTTGTAGAGAACTCAAGGTCATAAGGATATGATGCCCTCTTTGTGGAGAGAGCTTATATTATATAAGTTTTGTAAGGCGGTAACGTGAGGAATGTGGTTTTTACCATTTTGCTGAGTATAATCTTAATAGGATTAGATCTCCATATTCTGATATTTTTTTCTTGTGCTCCTATTTTGTCGGAGGAGGATCCTGAGACAGACAGGACTTGGTCTTAACCTTGGACTTGAATGACTTGGTTTGAACTTGCTTTGGAGTTAGGAAGACAAAGGAGGAAAAAATAGGAGGGTCTGGCCATGGGCGGCGCCCCCTTGGGCGTTAGTCTTTGGTGTCTTGGCTCCATTTGACTCTTTGTTGATTTACGGCCTCATGACTCCTTGTTGATTTACGAGTAAGTCCAATTCCCTTTGAGCTCCCATGACTTGGACTCCTCGGTTGATCCAGCCCCGATTGAATTTTTCTTGGGCCTTCTCGGCTCATTTAAATTGGGCTTGGTCCAGTGAAATTCGGGCCTATCAATATCCAAGGCGGAACCACATTCTTGCTCCAAATGTTGCCTTATTTTGCCAAGTCAAATTGCTGCGGCTATTTGGAGTAAGACAACAATATCGAAGAAAGGAGCTATCAGAATCAAATTGAAAACCCAATTATTGTGGGATAAAATATAATCTTTTGGGGTCCCAAAAAAAATTAAGATATATTATAATATTTTAGGGTGTTTGGAATTAGATCTCAATATTTTATGATGGATTCTATGCACCGGATAATTGTGTTACACTAGTGGAAAAACACTTACAAACATCCAACCATTTTTTTTTCCCAACGATCAAAGGCATCGGTCAAATCACTTTTGGACATATTCAACTATTTTACATGCACATTGACTAATTTTTTTATTAAATTCAACTAAATACAGATCATCCACACCAAATATAAGATATACACAAAAGATATATCTCTTATAACTTGACTCTAAAAGATTACCAAAATTCAAATTTAAAATATCTAAATTTACAACTTATTTCTATCATCACTTAAACTATCTCTGAGAGTTATACATATATCCAACCATTTGAATCAATACGTTTAGGCAAAATGATTGGTTACCATCAGAATCATACCTCGTTAGTATTCAATCTGGTGGCAGCCATGAAATTATGACCACCACAGATTTCTTAATTATGAATACACATTTCTAGGAAAACATGGGAGAACCATAGAGGTGGTGTGTCTCGTTTATGTTTAAAAAAATAAGGCCGATCGAACTAGTTCTTTCATGCAAAATCAGCTTTAACACAAAACCTATAATATAAAACAAGACAAACTTCAATTAGCATACCCGACAGTCTCAAATAAATTTATCCACACCAACATCACTTTCAAAATTATTCACATTGCACTGTGCCTTCGAGCATAAATTACCCCTAGTCAATTAAATGCAGCAGCAACTATAGTTTTGCATTGAGTCACCCTGTTCTCAAGCAGCAGCTATCAAATTAGCTTATTACCATTAGTAATATCACTGTACAACAAACGATCATTCATCCACAACTTAGGGTATTTGAGTATCGATCCTGCACCATCCACTTGACTCTTGGATTCCAATCTAAAGAATACAAACTTACAAACAACAACATATGCACAAATTCTCCGCAACCCAAAAAATAAATAACATGGATTAGCTACTAAGAGCTGTACAAAGAATCATTTACCAAATAAAATAGCTTTCAAACAGCAGCATTACTGAAGCCACCTTTTGTTTTGGCGTCCTTCAATATTTGAGCTGCAAGGATCAGGAGCTCCACCATTTCAAATCCTGCAGCAGAAACAAAATCTACCTTCTCTCCGCTGGAGTCGCCGCCATCATCAACCATCTCGTCAAAACGTTCACCTAATGAACCAACATCTGCCTCGGCTGACCAACTGACAGGAAGGAAGCTACCAAGGGCAGTCTTGACTAGTTTTGCCTCGGTAACAATATTGTCCAGAGCTTCAAACATGCCAGCAGCAGTATCCTCAGAAGCAACTGACACTTTGACCTACAAAATAAAATGGCAAAGGAATATAAACAGAAAATGAGTAGTGGGAATGTAAAACGAATAAGCGTCAAACAGGCAACCAATCTGTGACTAAACAACAACAATTTTTAATCCAAGCACACTTAAGAACATTGCATATTAGAGAATAGAAACAAATATGCAACTATGCCAGCTAAATATCAAGCTCTCAGGCTATAATTGAGAGCAAGCTGGACATCCACAAGAAAAAAATAAAAATTCAAAAACAAATTGCAACTGGGTTGTCACTTTTTCCCCATTTTCTTGGCCTGGTACGCTGGTACGGGCTTTAATGATACTTTTAGGCCCATCCAAAGAAAAAAAAGAGAGAGAAAAGTGGTTTATTTTAGTTGATTGACCATGGGTCCCATGACAAGAAAGAGAATTTTTTCCAAGATGAAACATTCTTCATGCATGTTGTTGAAAAATGATCACACCTTTAAGAGCGCAAGGCGAAGCCTACGAACCGAAGAAGTCAGATGCTCCATACTTTCCAAGCTCTCCTTGAGGGTTGCATTTTCTATCTTCATTCTGCAAAAAGAATAGAGAATAAAGAAAACAAGACGACACACGATTTTGGCGAACTTTCCCATGTTTGACATGTCGTAGACTATATTATGGCCAAAATACTTCCATATCAAATGTGTGTCAACAAGAAGGCACCACACTTTATTTTGGCAAACCTTGCAAAATCCATGCTGTAATTAGACCTCCTATTGGTAATATTTCCTTGAGAATTTTGGTCAGCTTCAGCTCCATTTTCATTAGAAACTGTACCAATCCACCGTTTCATATATGTTTTCTTCAGAATATTTATCAAGCTTCCATCTCTGTCTGCAACAATCCTTTTCTGTCCGATGTCCGTCAAAAGTTTTCCTTGTTTCGTCTCTTGACACACTTTCCTGCGTAAACGTAGCACATTCTAATTACAAAAATCAGAGTACACCATCCTGATCACAAGAGAGTAATTTTTTTTTTTCAAAAAGTAACCATTTATGGGGAACAAGTTATGTATTCATTAGCAAGCATACAACAGCTCAGCAACAATAACCCACTTCATTAGTACAAAAATCCATAAAGGAGAGGAACAGGCCGGAAGCACCCTGTCCCCTCACCTCCCCCCCCCCCCCCCCCACCCCCAAAAAAAAAAAAAAGAAACAATAAAAAAAGGGAAAAACCCCAAACCAATGCTGACAACGACACTAAACTCACAATAAAAATAGCCACATCACCACTAGATAATACTCCCTCCGTTCCTAAATATCTGTCGTTTAAGGTTTTTGTACAGGAATTAAGGAAGCTATTAAATAATTCTAATATGAGTAAAAAATAATTGCACAAAACTAAAATACCCTTATTTAATACGTTTTGGGAAGAAAAAGAATGTGAAAGACACTTAGCCTACACTTAATCTATTAAACACTTATTGAAAAACAGAGATAAGGGTAAATTTGGAAGAAAAAATATTAATTATACTTTGGTTTCATAAAACGACAGATATTATAGAACAAAAAAAATTGTGTAAAACGACAGATATTTAGGAACGGAGGAAGTAAAGAACAGAAACAGTGAAACAGTTGCCTAGAAGATTCTAATAGTACTAGTGAAGAATCAAGAAACTCCCCTTTTCTTTATTGGCCACAAGTAGAGAGTATGTATCCAACCACTGGTGTGTCGAATATATCGGCCATTGCCATAGCGATGCCATGGTCTCCCTAGACAAGTATTATAGAGAATCTAAGGTGCCCATGTGAAATTTACGTAGTACACAACAATGAAGCACCATACATAGGTGTCTAACTATTAGTTTAACTTTCAAGCATGGGGGAAGCTGAAATCTATGGGCTGCAATTGATGCACTAAAACTTCACAAAACAATCAGTTTATTTGTGAAACAATCTGTTTTAGCTTAGTTTGAAAACTTCATGCTCCGACAGAGATACCAGGGCGTGAGGACTTCAAGTTATTGATAAAATCACACTCCTAAGATTCCAACTTTCAGGTTCTGTTAAGTGATATAGTCTCCTTGTATTTCTTCAATCCTTATTTTTTCCTCCCCTTTCCCCCTGCTGCCCCTGGTGGGCACCAAAAAAGAAAACCAAACTAGAAGACATATATCTAGAACCATTGAAAGACCTTCTGGGTAAAATGCAATCTGAGAAGTGGTACTCAAACCAAAAAAAAAAAAAGGATAATTACAGTTGATTTTGTTGTCAGTGTACATCTTACTTCCTTTCCTTTCTTCTCAGATTAAACCATTTTTACTCTCAACAAAAACAGGCTCTTCTTTATCTTGTTTTACTCGTTCTTATGTTGTGTTGACTTTCAAAGGGAAGTTGGAGACAGAGACGGAGATGACAGAGACAAATGTGAGGCCTAGACCATAAGCAAAGGTCAATCGAACAAAAAAATGGAACGTGTAGCTAGCCGCCTTCTCACGCTAAATCAAAAAGAATTGTTAGATCAGTCTGTAAGGAGAGCTATTCCAAGGGAAGAAGTCATTCTTTTTCGCTCCTAAGGCAGAAAAGAAAGCATTTTGATAGGTCTGGTCTAGGTAGTTTCAATGTCAGAGGAGACAAAATTTTACATAATGCAATGATAATGGAAAAAACATGTAAAATATGGAATTTGAATATTTCAGTCACTTCAAGAGATAGTCACAGAAAAAAACCCAAACATAGACCAAAATCCATATTTGACACTTGATTGACATGAAAACAAAGATGAGAATCACATAATGCAATGATAATGGAAAAAAACACGTAAAATATGGAATTTGAATATTTCAGTCACTTCAAGAGATAGTCACAGAAAAAAACCCAAACATAGACCAAAATCCATATTTAACACTTGATTGACATGAAAACAAAGATGAGAATCACCCAACATTGAAATTTGCAGCCTCAAGCATGGAAGAAATCATACTTTTGAAGTAAATGGTATTCCTGTTTCAACTGTGCCAACTCCATAAGAGCCTTTACCTTCTCATTTGTAACCTGAAAAAAAAAAAATATTGCTCAGTCAACACTAGATTAACATAATAAAATTACTAAGAGGCAATTGCATTGAGTTATCCACATAGCATCATCCACTAGAAGATCACAAGTGGACATCACTGATATAAACAGGTCCCAAATGCTGCCACTAAATCTTTCAGACACAAAATTTACAACTTCATGACCAATGTTGTGGTAGTGCCACATATAATCTAGATTATCATTGCTTATATCCTATCTACCAACATAAATTTTTTTGTACTATCGATCCTGTCAAAAGAATAACATTCTACTGGAGCATTCATTAGCAGTAACACGGGTAACACAGTGAGCAGCTTGAAGGCAACACTATAAAATAAAATCTTCAAAAGTGCAGGAAACCAACACTTCGAAAATTACTTGTAGTAAGTTCCGCTGAAGCTCCTCCATTTTTCTTTCAAGAGCTGCATGCACATTTCTATCTAGCAAATGCCTTTCCTCCTGCTGTGATAGAAGCAACAATGCCGCAACCTGAATGAAATTTTAGAGAGGAGTAAACAAAAATTACAACGCACCAATGAGGAGCATGAACAACAGCATCAAACGTCCAAAGATAGGAACTCAAACAAAATTATCAGAGAATGCAATATGGCGGAGATTAAGAATTAAAACAACCTTCTCATGCAATGCCCGAGCAAGGGCTGTTGATGCATCGCCAGTTCTGACGGTAACAGTGCTTGGCAAGCTAGTTACATTACCCTGCAACAGATAAGGCCAAAACCAACAACTAAATTCAAAATTCCCGTGTAAAGGAAAATGAAGATTTAAGTCTGACAACAGTGAACTTCTACTCAGAAATTTTCCACTTCAAGTCATGATTCCACATGTATTATTGCATGTAAGCTTTGCAGACAAACACCAATTCTCAAAATCAAAACTGAAAATCATGTTGAGTGTAAAAAAACTGGCATTTTTTTATAATAGGCATTTCCTCAGATGTGAAATGCACATATTAAACACAAACTGTATGAAAACAGCTTAGACAGAAATCCGTCTTTTGAATGTAACTAATGCACTTGAGTGGGTTTTGGTACAAAACAAGAAAATTAAAGAAAGCTGGAAGAATTACTTTTAAAAGTTACTAAATGAAAATATAGAGGAAACATTTTTTTGTAGGATTAGGATGTCGGCGATAAAGGATACATTAAAGAAAATAAAGACAGGAAAATCTTTAGGACCTGATGGAATACCTATTGAGGTTTGAAAGTGTCTAGGGGATGTTAGGGCATCATAGTTAACTAAATTATTTAAATAGTGTCAAGTGTTAACGGTTAACCTGTGTCAGAACCATAAATTAACATCATAAGCATCAGTTAGCTAATATTTGAGGGTTAACAGGTTTTATCCAGATTTGTCAACAAGTAACTAGGATATAGGAAGAAGGAAGAAAGGATGAGAAAATTATCTGGACTATGTTGTTCTAATTTTGAATAAGAAGCATTACTTTCATAACAAAATATTCACCAAAAAAAAAAAACAACCAAAATTACAAGAGGTTATGGATATACATACACAAGAGTAGACATGCACGCATTTGCTCATCATGGAGGAGTTTAATAAGATTGTGGAATTGAACATTTGGAGGCACATACAAAGGAGAATGTATTGGGAAGAAAAAACATTTCAGTCAACCCTCACAAAAAATCTGTAATTTCTTTTGCATGTTCAGAGTTTTGGTCATCTTGCAATGAATTGTAGTATTGACCAATGGTAGCCCGCTACGGACGGTTTCCCACCTAAGTGGGCAAGGTGGCAAATGTCAAGTATTTGTAATGAGAAATCCAAAACACAGTATGATAATTAACTTCAAAGAATTATGCAAACCAAAAAAAATATATCATAAAGGAAGAAAGGGTAACCCACAAAAAAGTAAAGCAATTATACAGGAGAGTCTGTACTCTGCACCTTTGTGATCAAATCAGCATTAGTATTTATATGTACATCTCGACATTCGCTTTCAGGCAACTTTACATCTACTGGAGGAGATTTTAAATTTTGTCCTCCACTGATATCAATTTGCCTGATCTTTTCTTCTACAGAATTGATAGTTGATTTTAGATGCAAATATCCCTCATCAAGTAGGTTCATGATGTGAACTCTGTGCAGAGAATGGTAATGAAGTAACCCTGCTATCCACTTCTTGACCTTTTCTTCTGAAAGAATCTGCATGTAACTCAATAAAATCAAAACTAACCAGAAAAGGGTAAACATCATATCTCCTTTCAGAAAACAACTTAGTTCTCACTCTTTTCTTTTCCAAATCGCAAAACTTCTTCTTCAAGTGATTCTCAATTTCCAATCCCTATTTGCCAAAAACGGAGGAAAACAAATTTAGTTACTGCACTCCCAAACAAGACAAGGACCAGAAACCAGAAGCATACCACCCGCAGCTTGTTTTGAAGATTATCCACAGATTTTCTTAAGATCTCTACTTCTTCCTCTAGAGCACTCTGTCTGAATGAAAAGTTAATCAGATTATGAATAGCAAAAAATGCAAAAATATATCAGGAAATATCTCTGGTCAAAGTTATGAAACACAATCCAAATTGCAAAATGTAGCAATCCTTGGTTGAAGAATTTCTAAACTTCCCATCAAAGTGATCTTATACATCGTACCCTCCAAGAGAAACTCATAAGATTCACTGAACATGATATCAAGGTAAACAGGTTTAGTTCTCCTAAGCTCCAAATAAACCTTAAGAATATCAAAACAAAGCATTTTGCTAGGCTAATCCCATCATAAAACCTGCATATCAAAAGGATACTATACAGCACATATATAAGCATAAAAAATAGATCACATTATTCTCACACACTGGCAGGCAAATAACCCAGGCCTAATATAATCACCATCATATAAATAGTATTCCAGTAAGGCATAATTTTGGCAAAGCAGAAAAGACTTCCTTCTGCACCGTGATACAAGTGATATTAAAATGGAAAAAAAAAAAATCTGAGCAAAGTATAGTATTATCTAGTATGAAGTGATCTTCATCCAGGTTAGTAACGCATCAGCAGATCAAGTTTGTTTGAGCAAGAACTACATGATCACATTCAGGCTTAGCTTGGCTCTGCCCCATTAAGATCACATCTAAGACAAAAGGAGTTCAACCGCGAACTTAAGGTAAAAAATCATGTGAATTTGCCTCATACAGGAAAATCAATCTTGAATAAGCATTCCCTTTTTTTAGAAAGAAATTAGGAAAGAGGGGAGGGGGGTGTCGAGATAGAAATTCAATGAAAGTTCATTTATGTTGTGAACATAGTTGTTAAATCGTATATCGGAAGGTGTATCGTTTTTTAAAAATAATGTATCGTACGTAATTTTAATTTTTAAATAATTATTAATAAAATATATGTATATACCTTTATAAAAAAGTCATAGACTCATAATAACATAGTATTTCATTAATATTCCACCACCTATTCAAGTTTCCAACATAGTTCAGTAATATCAAAATGCAAAGACCTCTAATTCAAACTTCTAACATCAACTACATGAACAACTTTAATATTAATTAAAAATTTTGAATTCAATTGAACAACATTAATATTAGACATTATTTATTTTTTTTAAACTATAACCACTGAAACGACGTTGTTTCACTAATTAGTGATTTAAAAATAAGTTTTAGGGTAAAATGATGTCATTTCAATCCCAAAAAATAAAAAATAAACAAACAGAATCATCACGCATCGTACGTATCAGGCAAAGCGTATCGTACATATCGTATCGTATCATGTATCGTACGATACGGTGCAAAAACGATAAAGAGACGCGATACATATCATTTTTCAAGTGTATTGTGGCGTATCGTACGATACTAACAACTATAGTTATGAATGTTGTTTTTGGAAGTACAAATAAATTTGGCAGAAACTCAATCAGTGAATAAATATTCAACACGTCAGGCAACTTTACAGCACAACTCACACGGATGAAAATTTAAAAAATTTGTTAGATTATCAAAACTTACGGTGTATTTGGAGGTGGAAGTTTCCCCATCATTGAAGCTCCACATTTCTGATGAATCATGCAGAAGGCATTCACATTTATCTTCCCAACTAGTACTCCCAAACGGCCTCAGAGAATGTTGTCTGATCTCATAAAATTTATCAACAACCTGTGATAAATGATAATATTGAGAAATAATTAAATCCAAAAATGAGAAGCACATTGTTCATGTAGCAAAATGACATATGAGTAATTAATATGCAACCAGTCTTTATAAAGTTTCTGACAAATATCAAGTGGACCCCTAACAACTCATGAGTCAACAAAATCATAAGAAACTACTTTATACTACTATAATGACACCATATCCTGTTCGTGCATATCATAAACATTCTGATAATGTACTAAAAATCTCACAAGGTTGTGCGAAAGCCTCCAGAGAAATCTCTATTTTGGATTAAAAACATCAACATCCAAAACAAATGAACATCCATTCATCTCTAGTAAGAAAAGAATTTAATAGCTTAGAACTACAAGCCTTTTGGAGAGATTGTTCTTCTGTAAGATAATAACAATCATATCATTAATAATAAGAATAAACATAGTAATGCCAGTAGTTACAACATTCCCATTTATAACAAGTCTACACACAAGGCACGACATCCCTTCGAAGTTTATACTTGCAGGAAAGCCCAAAACTTTTGACTCCTTTCAACACCAATTAAAACTATAGTTTGCAGGAGAACTGTCATTTAAAATATACAGATAGTCAGATACCCATTCAACAGGTGGCAGAGAAGGCAAAACTAAATCTTAAGAAATGTCAGGCAATGTGCAGACAAAGGTGAGAAATGTCAGGCACCGAATTTAAAGACCAGAAAATGTTTTCTTCTTGGTCAAGTAAATTTCTGTCATACTAGTATTTATCATGAACACAAACACTGCAGCATTCCACTATAGTTATAACTTTCAACTATTTTGATGCCTGCTAGATTTTCTTTCCCCACTTGGACATCATTTTTTTCTGTTTGTTCCTTGGTATCGGGAAGTAGGCTGGCAGCATCTTAATAAATGAATGCTTAATGTACAAAGTGAGTTTTGAGGGTGAGACCATCATCGAATTCATTTTGCTTTTGACAATAATTTGGTGCAAGGTGTTAGATCCTTCAAGTTTTTTTAGGTCTCTGTCAAGGACTTCAAAAAGTCCTTTATTTTCCTTTCTCTAATTGGTGCACCTTTTCTTCTTTTGTAGTTACACAAGGGTGTCCAACTCCAACACCCATTTGAGTCAAGTCCCAAATCATGAAAATTGAGTAGACGCAGATAGACTTCTGATTTCGAAACCATGCCCTGAGCCATCTCACCTACTCATTCACCATTACTGTCAGTGTTACAACTATGTGTTTGAACTTTGAAGCTAGAGCTTAACATTTGCATGACTGCATCACTTTACTACCTCAATGCCTGGCGTGCACTTTTGATATTTGTGTTAAAAATTATTAGTCCACTTTTTCTAAAGAAATTACCTATATAATCTAACTATTATCACCTATCAGAAGAATATATCAATATGGCATCATGCAGGTGATAATTTGTACCAAAATGTGTACCTTTTTGAAAGTCACATTGAGATGCTCCTGCTTTTCTAGATCAATCTGCAGCTTAGCTGTTAACTTCTTCTCTTCAAGACAGCCAGAAGTAAGCTCATCTACCCTGTTTCACAAGTAAAGTTTGCCTCCAACATTAAAATTACAATCCATGGGCGTCCAATGCAAAACGACAAAGATCAAAGGGTAAATTATATCCAGAGGTTTGGTCAAATAACAACTGGATGGGAAATAATATTGCACTCCATTCTACTTTGGTTATCTATAACAAACTACCCCAGTCGTTAATGAGACATCATAGTGTTTATGATGTAAGCAATTCGTTTTTTAAAAATACCAACCTTACCCTTTACAGATCAGCTTGCATTTTTAGAAAACAAGACCCTAAAACTCTTATCTCTATTCTGTCTAGCTGTCCACCAGAAACATTACTAACCAACCACCACTGCCTGCCATGGTAACTACGACTACCTCCATCCAAACTCATTCTTCCTCCGAAACCAATTTCACCCGTGAAACCAATCACCTCTCTCTCTCTCTCTCTCTCTCTCTCTCTCTCAACCAAGAAAATCCATTGCTGTCACAAGTTATCACCATCCCTAATTAGATTGTCAAAACCCATCAATATTGAAGGAAAAAGAATCTACATTTATGTTGCCCCTATAACAATAGATTTTTTTTTTTTTTTTTTTTTTGAGGGGGGAGAGAGAGGGAGAGAGAATGAAGCTTTTGAACCCAAACCCACTGCTACGGCCACCATGACAACTCCCACCCCTCCAACGCCCTCACCCGCCAATCCTTCCACCTCCGAATTCTACAACCAAACCCAATTCAATTCATCTTCAACAAATATATATATTTGCAATAGATTTCGATTTCATTGCGACTAGAGCTTGATAGATGTGATTTCGTCATAGGCATAGCAATGAATTATTTGAAGGATTTATTAATGAGTATAGCCATTGTCTCCATTGCCTCAACCGATCAACATCCTCTTTCCCCAATAGATTTAAGTTGACACTTTGAATAAATTTTATTTTGTTATTTCGGTAATTAGGACTGTTAAGAATAATAGGGTAGTATGTGTAAATTGTTAATAGTAAGAGGGTGTATATATAATTCGTATTACTGTAGGTTAACTATAAATACAAGTGATGTATAAGAACTAGATTAAGTTTTAACCTCTCTCTGTTTCTCTCTAATATTATGTTAATCTTCCACAATTAACATGGTATCAGAGCAAGTACGATCATAAATTTATATTTTGACTAAATTAATTTTGTTCGTCGTGGTGGTACTGTTGTCTATTTGTCGAAACCATCGTCGTGGTGGTGGTATTGTGTTGTTTACTGTTGTGGTGGTCCATCGTTGGTGGTGAGGCGTGGTTTGTGGTGGTTGTTGTGATCGCTTCCAACTCTTATCAATGGTCCTATGACCTCTGTCAAACTTAATGGGACTAATTACACTGTGGTCCCGATCTGTTCAACTTTTTTTTTGAGGCAGAGGATTTAAGAAATATCTTGTGGATTCTAAACCCAAGGAAGACACTCCTAGGTATAATCAGTGGAAACAAGAGGATGCTCAGATTATTTCTTTATTGTTGAATAGCATAGAGCCCAGTATTAGCTCTTCTCTGCTCTATCTTGATACTACCAAAGAGATATGGGATCACTTGGCCACGATGTATTCTGGTACAGGTAATTTTACTCGTGCGTATGAGGTGTGTAAGGAGTACTTCCAGTTGGAACAAGATACTATTGAGTCTTGCAGATTATTACTTTCATGTTCGAGGAGTCTGTGAGGAAATGAAGACTTATCATTCGTTTACTACTGATGCAACAGTTTGGCAAAAGTAACATGAGGACCTGAATGTTGTTAGATTTTTGGTAGGATTGAAACCTGAATATGAGGCTATTCGTTCTCAGAATTTGGGTGAATCTAGTCTTCCATCACTGTTGGAGGTTTTTCTCATTTACAGCGTGCTACACTGTCTACTCCTTCAGTCATTGATCATGGTGTCTCCACTGATCTCTCAGCTCTTGTGGTTCCTAATAGCCATAGTGATGGTCATCGAGGTGGACGTGGTGGTCGTAGTGGTCGCGGAAGTCGTACAGGTGGTCGTGGGGGTCGTAGTGGATCCCGTTCTTGTACTTACTGTGGCCGTGGAGGACACACTGTTGATTTCTATTGGGATTTACATGAAAAACCTTCTGATACTACTAATCAAGCTTCTTATCAGGATGATACTTCTGTTGTTGCTTCTATACCTCAATCAGCTCCACCAGACACTGGGTCGATTACTATTACACTGGGTCGAGAGGAGAATGCTCAATTCCTGTCCCAACAACAGGCTGTTTCATCTCCCTCCACTGCTACTTTTGCCCAGACAGGTACTGCTTCCACCTGTTTATTGTCCTCTACTCGCAGTCCTTGGATCATCGACTCTAACGCCTCTAACCATATGACTGGTGCGTATGACATTTTCTCTATTTATCAGTCTGCTACTTTCACGCGTAGTGTTACTCTTGCTAATGGTACTTGTTCTAGAGTTTCAGGTCTGAAAACTACTCACTTAAGTCCTGATATGTCCCTATCTTCCGTGTTATTTGTTCCTCAGTTCCCTTTTAGTTTACTTTCCATTAGCAATATTACTCGTTCTCTCAATTGTTCTGTAACCTTTTACCCTTTCTTATTGTGTCTTTCAAGATCTCAAGACGAAGAGGAAGATTGGTACAGGACATGAAACTAGTGGCCTATATTACCTTGACTTTGATTCACCTACCCGAGCTCTACAGACCTCGTTGTCTCCTTTTCAAAGGCATTGTCGTCTTGGACACCCCTCTCTCCAGAATTTCAAGCGTCAAGTTCCTAGTCTTAGTTATGTGTCGTCTTTGTCTTGTGAAGCTTGTCAACTTAGTAAGCATCACCGTGTGTCATTTCAGTCTAGAGTCAATAATCGTGTGTCTAGTCCATTTGAATTAGTTTATTCTGATGTATGGGATCAAATAAAGAATATTTCATCTAATAAATATCCTTATTTTGTGATATTCGTGGATAACTATTCTCGTGTGACTTAGTTATTTTTTATGAAAGCTCGGTCTGAATTATTCTCTATATTTGAGACTTTTCGTAAAGAAATAAAAACTCAATTTGGTTGTCGTATACGTACTTTACGTTCCGATAATGCTCGAGAATATGAATCTGATACTTTTTTAGCTTATCTTAGTAAAACTGACATTATTCATCAGACTTCTTGTGCTTACACCTCTCCACAAAATGGTGTTGCTGAACGCAAGAACCGTCATTTGTTGGAAGTCACCCATGCCCTATTATTCCAGATGAATTTTTCCGATATTATTAGAGTGATGTTGTTCTTACTGCTTGTCATTTTATTAATCGTATGCCCTCCTCTGTGTTAAATGGGCAAAGTCTATATTCTGTTCTTTTTCCTAGTAAGCCCTTATTTTCTCTGACTCCTAAGATTTTTGGTTGTGTCTGTTATGTTCACAATTTGGGTCCTGAATTTGACAAACTTGACCTTTGAGCTACCAAATATGTATTTCTTGGTTACTCCCGCACGCAGAACGGGTATCGTTGTTACAGTCCTTCTCTGCACCGATACTTTACTAGTGCGGATGTCACATTTGAAGAATCTGTTCCATACTTTCCAGCACCTTCTCAGCCTCTGGATTTGGATTTTGGATCCTCTCCTGTATCACCATCCCTTTCCTTATCTTCAAATATTCCGTTGTCCACTATGTTACCATCTACTTTACCTCTCCGTGTCTACTCTCGCCGTCCTCGCCCATTGACTGAAGTGCCTGTACCGTCTTCCTTGCCGCCTTCGGATCTTGGAACTTCAGGTAATATAGATTCTTTACCTATTGCTCTTCGCAAAGGTACTCGTTCGTGTTACTAATCATCTCATTTCTCATTTTGTTTCATATGATGCCTTGTCTCCTGTCTTCTCCTGTTTTACTTCTCAATTATCTGCTATATCTATTCCTAAGCATTTACAGGGTGCATTATTTGATCCAAGTTGGAGGAAAGCTATGGAGGAGGAGATGACTGTTTTACATCATAATGGAATTTGGAATCTCGTTCCCTTACCCTCTGGTAAACGAACTGTTGGCTGTCGTTGGGTGTATACTATTAAATTTCACCCTGATGGTTCTGTGGAGCATTTCAAAGCCTGACTTGTTGCAAAGAGTTTTACTCAGACTTATGGTGTTGATTATGAGGAGACTTTTTCTCCAGTTGCCAAATTTTCTCTGTTCATATCTTGATTTCTCTTCCTGCTAATCTTGATTGGCCCTTGTTTCAGTTAGATGTCAAAAATGTCTTCTTACATGGTGATTTGGTTGAAAAGGTCTACATGAAAGAGCCACCTAGGTTTACTGTTCAAGGGGAGTATGGTAAGAGTGTATGTCGGTTAAAAAAAATCTTTGTATGGTTTGAAACAGTCACCAAGGGCATGGTTTGGTAAGTTTTCAGATGAGTTTGGTCTTCTTCGATGTCAAACAGATCATTTTGTGTTTCATAAGCAGACAGATGTTGGGTATGTTCTATTGGTGCTCTATGTAGATGATATTGTGATTACTGAAAATGATTCTGAGGAGATTACCAAGTTCAAAATATTCTTCTAAGATCGATTTCATATTAAGAATTTAGAAAAACTCAAGTATTTTTTGGGTATTGAGGTGGCTTGATCTAAACAAGGTATTTATTTATCTCAGAGGAAATATGTACTTGACATACTTGAGGAAGCAAGTTTACTGGGTGGTAGACCGATTGATGTGCCTATGGATCCGAATCAAAAATTATTGATGGATGATGGTGTATTGTTTGAGAATCCGGGTCGGTATCGCAGATTAGTTGGGAAGTTTAATTATCCACTATTACTCGACCGGATATTTCATATACAGTCAATATAGTAAGTCAGTTTATGGGATGTCCTAGAATACTACATTGGGAGGCAGTTACTCGTATTCTGCAATATCTCAAACGAACTCCTGGACTTGGACTGCTATATCGAGCTAATGGACATCTTAGAGTGGAAGGTTTCTCAGATGCTGATTGGACTGGCTCTCTTTCTGATCGGAGATCAACCACTGGTTATTGTACTGTCTTAGGAGGTAATATTGTCTCATGGAAAAGTAAGAAACAACCAATGGTAGCAAGATCCAATGCTGAGGCTGAGTATAGGGCAATGGCACATACGACGAGTGAATTGACTTGACTACTACACTCCCTCCAAGAAATTGGATTTCCAGTTCAACTTCCTTTACAGTTGTTCTGTGACAACCAAGCAACTATCTATATCGCCGTCAATCCTGTGTTTCATGAGAGAACCAAGCATATTGAGGTTGATTGTCACTTTATTCGGGACAAGATAGTAGCTGGGGAGATTACAACTCCATTTGTGAAATCTGAAGATCAGCTTGCAGATATGTTTACCAAAGCATTGAGTCGTACACGTCTTACAGTTATTTGTTCCAAGCTTGGATTATATGATATATATAGTCCAACTTGAGGGGGAGTGTTAAGAATAATAGGGTAGTATGTGTAAATTGTTAATAGTAAAAGGGTGTATGTGTAATTCGTATTACTGTAGATTAACTATAAATCCAAGTGATGTATGAGAGCTAGGTTAAGTTTTAACCTCTCTTTGTTTCTCTCTAATATTGTGTTAATCTTCCACAATTAACAAGGACCATTTTACTTGTGATTGTGGAAAGTGGTGAGGGCTGAAGGTACTTTGATTGGTTGTTTGCAGAGTGGAAGGAGTTGTTTTTTGGTGGTTCGTAGAGGGTGATGGCTAGTGGTTGTTGTTTAGATGAAATTTAGGTTGTTATGGGAAAATTGAGAGGATAATTTGGGGACGGTGGAGTTGAGGGCAATATAGTCATTTAGTTATCTTCGTCACAGAAATAAAGCGGCCGTTATTTACAGGGGAGGTCAGTGTTATTTCCTATACAAGCTAGGGTCTAGTTGTTATTTGACCAAACCTCAAGGAGGTGGACGTAATTTACCCAAGATCAAACAAAGCATGAAATGACTCGACAGCATAAAGACCCAAAGCAGCAAAACAAATTATACAAGTAACATGAGTGACTAGACCAATGGACGACTAGTTTTGTACATCAGGGACAATGTCCAAGTACTTCAAAAAAACAATACAGAATATCACTCTGTGGCAACAATCACGCACCACCATCAACGGAATGTCGACAGCCAAGCCTCAAGTCCAATGGTTGCCGAAGAGGAAAGAAGAAAGTGGAGAAAAAAAGAAAGAACAAATAACTAAAAGATGGCAGGACATCATTACTGGCAATAATTTTTGAACAATGCAAAGCTAACATGGGGACTTGCAAGCATCACCATATGCAGGGGACATCAACATTCCCCTTTATTCCCACTACTAGCATATTTTCAAGTTTTTCCAGTATCCGAATCATACTTTTGGTATGAACATGTTTTTGTCGTTCTCAACCATGTCCGCTCCTTGGGAAAATAAATAGTTACTTTCTTTCTCTTTTAACGGGAAAAAGAAAAGATATGACCCCCGAACCCATTCCATCCCTTCAAACGCTAAGCCCAAACGTGAACCATAGTGTTACAATGGCTTAGCTAAATGCTCAAAGTAATAAGAACATACAAATAGACTAACCACAACATACAAAGACCACACTTTCAAAAATGAAAGCTTAACCACCCTTGCTCGGACGGATCCAATCAAAAAATGCATGTACAAAGAAGAAATTGCTTTTTTATTCTCAGTGAGAATAAGCATGCTTTCTAGAGATTCTTCAAGAATTTTTGAAGCAATAATCTTCCAGACTCTTTTTGTGCAACAGATTGTCACCAAGGAAGTTCCTTTCACTTATTTTTTTCTAACTCGTACTTTATTTTCAACCAAACAGCATATTTACATAACAATATCTTCTCTTGGGAGGTTCAAGCTTTACCAAACATTAAAAATTAAAAGGATAACTGATGTAGATCGTATTAGGGAAGAATTAAGGATGAGAAGGGAATAAAAAAGGAGTGAGAAAAGAAGAAAGAAATGAGAATAGAGAGAGAATTTTAGGAAGAAGATTCAATATCAATAGTCAATAATCAAAGTCTCCCAAAACAAATATCATATCCTATATATATATAGGGAGAACACAAATCTTAAAAGAACTCTAAAAGAAATAAATAGTCACAATGACAACTAAACCCTTAAAAGTTAAAAGAAATTACTTAAAAGATAAATATTAGAAGTATCTAAATAACTATCATAATTAATCTATAATATCTATCCAATTCCTACACGATTTCCATCATTCTCCTCCGGTTGAAAAAAACTCTCCTCCGGAGAGTCTTCAAAGTAGAAATACCCTAAGAGAGCAGGATGAAGATGACATAATGCCTCATTTAGAATGAAAGAACCATCGACTTCTTTCCATCGACCAGGATAAATGCAATAATCTCCATTTGTATGAACACCTACGAATAAAATAGGAGGCTCTGGAGTACCTCAAATAAGCAGCATGTCCGCCAAATAAAAATCTGGACTAATACTAACATTCAATAAAAAATTAAGCAAATAAGCATTAGATCCAAACTCAAGAATAGCAAAAAAATTCTCATTAGATTTGAACAACAGGCATTCAATGAGACAAGACATCAATGACAAAGGAGTAACTATAACACTCTGGTGCTGAATAAGAAAGTACAGGCTCAATTGAACACTTGACAGTAGGCAAAGAATCAATGTCTACAATCTCAGATTGAGAAGAATTTGTAACAAAGTCATGATGACTTGGACAAGTAGACATAGAATAGTCACTATTAGATTATGCAATAAATGACTCGATTGGCTTAATATCTTGCATAGGTGTAGACTCAATAGACTTTTCCACAATTTCTAAGACCAATGATGGTTCAAGAATTGACACAAACAAAGCCTCACACAAACTTTCTTTCGAAATAGACTCTTGTGAGTGCAAAGGAGGAGAACTCTAATATGACGAAACCAAATGAGGGAGTTGGAAATCCATATGAGTAACATTTTTCTCTTTATCTGACACTAAAATATCTAAATCCTATGCCACATTCAGATTAGGAAAGCATGCAGAAACAACATCGACATCGTTTAAGTAATCATGATACTCATATGTGATAGAATTAAAATTAGAAGATGTCCTATCAGCAGGCTGTGATTGAGAACCCATCAAGATATAATTGGATTTTTTATAAAATCTCTCAACCTTTAGAGCATATTGATAGGCTGCAACTAACGTATTAAAAGTATATTGCTTAACCTCCCTACTAATTTTTTGTCTCAACCCAAAAATAAACTGATCAATTGTCCAAAGTTCTTCAACAATGTCACACAAGTACATGAGATAATCAAATTAGGCAAAGTAATCAGAGACACTAGAAGAATGTTGTCTAAGATTGAGTCATTGGTCACAAACTTGATCCATGTAAGAAATAGGCAAATACTTTTCTTTCAATTTATATCTCATTTCAACCCAAGTGATAGGTGATTCTCCTAAAGGGTCTAGGCTTTTTTGGATTGTTTATCAATACTTCTTGGCCGAACCCTCCAACATTAATTTAGCAAAACGGACGCAATGGAAATCCGACATGCCATGTCAATCAAAATATTCTTCTAAATTAGCTAACAAATCCAAGAATTGATTGAGATCTAAAGTGCCACTAAATATAGAAGGATCTTTGACTAGTTTGGTCATATGAGTTGACTCCATGTAAACATCCCTAGACTTCCTATGATGATGTCCTCGACGAGAGACTCTTGAAACATGTGCATTAGAGGGACTCATGAGTGACTCTTGAGAGATGAGAATGAAATAAGAACAAATTCAAGAATGCAATTAACAATTTCAAGAAAGTTTAAATAGAAGAAAATATGTTTTGGATCCTTTGCAAATTCTCTAATTTTTCAATGAATAAAAATATTAATCTCAAATTCTATAAGAGTATGCATACCATAATCAAGAGGAAATTCTAAATTTTTTTTGGGATGATTCTGCAATTTTATGGATCTATTGGTGATGTTTCTGCAATTCTGAAACTTCTGGGGGAAAAATTATGCAATTTCTGCAACTTCTGGGGTAATGTTTATGTAATTCTGAAATTTCTAGGAGAAGATTCTGCAAATTTTGAAATTTTTGGTGGTGATTCTACAACTTCTGAAACTTTTTGGGGTGTTTCTGTAATTTCTAAAACAGCTGGGATGTTGCTGTAATTTTCTAAATATGCAGGGATGGTGAACAGTGCACGAACAGGCGTGAACAGTAATTAAGCTCTGATACCAAATTGATGTAAATCGCACTAGAGAAGAATTAAGGATGAGAAGGGATGAGAATAGAGAAAATTTTAGAAAGAAGATTCAATATCAATAGTCAATAATCAATAATCAAAGTCTCCCCAAACAAATATCATATCCCCAATATATATAGGGAGAACATAAATCCTAAAAGAACTCTAAAAGAAATAAATAGTCATAATAACAACTAAACCCCTAAAAGTTAAAAGAAATTACTTAAAAGATAAATATTATAAGTATCTAAATAACTATCATAATTAATCTATAATATTTATCCAATTCCTACACGATCCCCATCAATAACTGTGCACCCAATCATTTGAAAAACTACCTCTTCTCTAAATCATTTAAATTTTGGGACATGACCTCCTCCTTCTCCTTAGCTTTTTCAGCCTGTGAACAAGCCAGATATAATCATCAGAATCCTTTCAGGAATTAGTTGATCAAAGTACTTTAAATATTACACATGCAGATAAGCCCTATCAGTATCTAAATACTAAAACCAAGATCTACATCATAAAAATTAAATGAAAACGGACAAAAACACCATGCCACAACCCCTCTCATTGGTTTAGGTTGTGGGAAGAGGAAATAAGGGTGAACTGGGTGAATATTTAACCTTTTGCTTCACTCACACAAAGCAGCTGCCCTCAAACTCAGATAAAACAACAGCCCAGTCACTAGCATCACACCAAGCAGTACCCCACAGCTAAAAAATATACTATCAGAAAAAACACAGAATTTTCACTGTTTGTAACCTCTATTACAGAATGATCCCGCTCGGCAAATGCAGCAGCAACACAACCTTGAAAAAATTTAACCTGCTTCTCTGCTTCCATATTCTGGAAAAATAAATAAGGAAAGCAACCGTGAAAATTTGCAACTGGCCACAATTGCTGGACATATATACTTGAGTGCTAACTAAAAATGGAAAATCAGAAAATCAAGACACATTTATGTAAAATTCAGACCCCTAGAAGCTATCTACACATTTACGGAAGACCCATGCTTGGCACATTCTTCTACATGGTATGTGAGCTTTGTAACTGTACAAAAATCCTTCCACTTACTGATGTATGAAGTTTCTCTAAGGGACATAGAGAGCATTAGCATAATGGTCAAGGCACAAGGCATTGCCATGAATTGGAAAAATAGAGAGGTTGTTTCCACATAAGTTACTTTCCAATAACAGTCTGTCATGGATATATACTTGAGTGTACACTGGTGATGCTCATTCCGCAAGTGAATGATTCATAAATTCCTTTCATCCACAATTGAATTGCTCACACTGGCTACATGCACATGAACACACACACACAGAGAATAAAAGAGAGAGAGAGAGACCTTAGAGACCTCCGCATTGTGTAAGTCTGCCAACTGGCTCTGGAGACAGCAAATACAACATGTAAGAATTTAGAATAGTATTTTAGAACTGATATCAAAAAAAAAAAAAGGCAAAAGAACCTCACTTTAACATGATACGCCTCCGAAAGCTCCTCTTGAAGATTTAGATTTTCCCTTGTGCAAGCAGCTAACCTCTTCTTCAAGTTCTCGATCTCCTGCTCCAGGCCAGCTGTCCTAATTGGGAATTGATTTCAATGCAAGGTGTCCTTATTGCTTGTGTACATAGAAAACCTACTCACCCTACTCCAACCAAAAACTAGATTATGATGATCTCATGGACCTATAAAAAATCTTATACCTCTGAAAATGCATTCGAGTAGCCACCGCGAGATAGCTAGGTCCAGCTTGGTGCATACATAATTGTTCAATATCTTTACGTAGTTGATCACGCTCTACAATAAAAAAATGGAAAAGGCATCATGTTAATAATCTGTGGCTAGGCCCTAAGGCCAGTATGGGCCTACACTAGGGTTCAAATCCAATCATCAATCTATTAAAAATGGTAATAAGATGTGTATGATTCTAAGTATAGCGGATCAAAGCAACAAGCCAGTGGACATTCTATGTTGGAAGCAGAACTGATGAGATGCCTTAATGCTTTCCGCCATAGACTCAATCCGGTGAATGAGAAAGAGAATGCAATGCCAAATTTAGATCAAACAACCAAGGATCAATTACTGAGATATTATGGAGAAAAATTAGTGCACTAGTGTATAGTATCTATGGCGTAGAGAGTAGATAAGTTTAAAGGTTTGCCTCTCCAAGAAAGGTCACCGACATGAGTTCTCCAATAACAACCAACTTGATGTGAATTATAAGATAAAAACCCAAAATAATAATTGTTAATTTCCAAAAAATCCTACTTTTTTTCTACTGTGGTGATTTAATAAAAAGGTGGAATTTTAAGATGACAATATTAGATGGCCCAAACAAAATACTTACTTTGATGCATCGGAAGGAGGCATTTTAAACTGAGGGTGGAGAGTGGATAGCTTCATAAATACTAGATCAATAGGAAAACATTTTTTTTTTATGGAATAGGAAGTAGTCTAGAAACATATCCAGTATTCTTGAGACTAGAAGTTCATACCACAAGCTACCAAGTCTTCTGATTCATTCGCAACCGCACACGATTTGTGTGGCATGAATATTTGAGGGTTAGGGGTCAGAATTCAGAAATTGCTTCTTAACCTTTTGGGGTATCACAAATTGGTAAGGAATGATAAAAATTAGATTTACTGGAGAACACCATTTAGGTGGTGGAATCTCACACATCACTGATCATGTTTCTTTTGGATGTTCCTTTGTTCTACTTTTACTCATTCTTTATGCAATCTTCAAGCTGGGAAGCCATGTATTCCAAGCTTGGGATCTTCAATGGTGCTTCTGTGAGTAAGATTTGCACATACAACTTTTGTCCTCACTTTTTATTTTAATTGGTTTAGAATGCACAATCTGAAACAAATGCGTGTGTAGTAGCAGCATAATGGCAGTTACTCTGTACCATGGCCTCTGCCGGTAACCCATCAATTAAACTGATCAGTCTTGATCCAACATCTTCTAACTGTAAGAGGTTAAAGCCTAGCTAAAGAATATTGCCTCTCTTATTCACACTTTGCTAACGTATTTGTTATATATGGAATATCTTAGAAGCTTCTTGTGACTTGTGAGAAGCCTGCATTCTTTGCAGCACTTGAGTCAAACAACACCAAATACAAATTATATTTTTTGAATAGGCCCTGCATCCCCAGTACACCATCAAATCCACAACTAATCATGCGCGTCATTATTTGCCCCAAAGCTACTAGCATTTGTTGATTTTCAACAGGCATGGAATAGACAAACCAGTTGTCTCAAGCCGTGATCCAAAGAACTTGAACCCAAAAGCACATGAAGAAGCAAATTGAGTAAAGAACGACATCTTAGAAGTTGACACAATGAGAAAGCAAGGGCACTTGGTTTTGGTTGAATCAGATATTAGTTTGGTACAACGCAAGTAAGTTATGCATATCTATAATCTTCTATATAACAATCAATTGGGTGTCCCTACTTTCTAGTTTCTAAATTTTTAGAATTTTCAACTATAAAATTAGAAATCAAAAGTCTCATCTAATCGTCCTTTTACCTACTCAATCTCCTCCCCCACTAACTGCCCACCATTTTATTAAATTTATCTAAAGAATATTTTTACTACCCGATCACTTGAATACTTCTTTATCAGATTTTCCAAATAACGGGAGTGGGAGAGGGGAGATATGAGGAAATTTTTTTGAAAATAAGATAACAAGTTGGAAACCTAGTGCATCGCATGGTTGGGGCAGCTAGTTGTTATATACAAGGCACAAAGGATATTCAAGCAAATCCAAATCTTTCTAGATATGGGTTGTGATAATGGGCTATGGGTTCTATTTTATCGGTTTTGTTATCCAGTGACTCCAGCCTATATGAATGGATTTTAGCAGGTTTATAGACATTAATTAGTCAAAGTGGTTATGCATTTAATATGGAGCGTGCATCCTATCTAGTTCAAATCGCCTGGAAGTTGTACTCTTTGACTTGAATGCAGATTATTGTACAGAATTTTTTCCATAAGGTTTTGTAGCGCTTTTGAGTTACTTAATGCAATGCTAGTCTCTGTAACGTCTAGGAATCCAATTGAGGTTTATTTTTTTTTTTCTGGACACAACTTACCTATTTATCCAACCTGAAACTTCACCTTTATGAGACTAAACCATTCCTTATCAAAATAGCCTTTCACCTAACAACCACGGTCCCATTCATCAATGTTGTTCAGAAAATTCAGTAACCATTTAGGAATTTTCGCGATCTACCACCTTGGGGGGGGAAAAAAAGTCCCTTTCCATCTCAATCTTAGTTTGCTAAAGAATACCAATCAGCCCCTACTTACGGTTTGTTAGTACCATACGCAAGTTTAAAAATACTAATAATACATGGCTATACCCTTAGTATTCCAAGCTTTCATACATAAAAAATAGCATCAAAACTTGTAGAATAATTTCCCACACCACAAGGATCAAAATTTCGTTTCGATGCATTATTTCAATCACCTAGAAAACAGAAATATTTTGACTTATTTCAGAAATATTTCGACTTATTTCAGAAACATTTCGACTTATTTCGGAAACATTTCGATCTTTTTCAGACATAAATGAAAAAATTAAAAATTAATTTTCTAAAACATTGGTCAAAATATACCAAGATATCTTGAAATGTCTTGAAATATTTTGAAACAAGTATGCAAATGCATTGAAACATTACAAAACACCTTGAAACATTATGAAACACCTCGACGTATTAAAATTTTAATTTCATCACTAATTCGTTTCTGTTTCCTTGTAAACGGAAACGTTTTGGCCGTTTCAATCATTTTAAAACGAAATTTTGATCTTCGCCACACACTTAGTTTTACATCACAAGTTGGGTAGCAAAAAGGAATGCTACACTAAACGAAGCTACATATCTCTCCTCCAATTACCTTCTTCTATGCCTTAGAAAACACATTGAAACTATGTATAGGGTGCAAAATTCTCTCAAGCGGTTATGTTTAAGTATTCCTTCCTTCAGTAATCTATATATATGACTGACAAATTCTTAGAAAGAGGTTTTTGAGAGGTATTCCCTCCTATTTTTCTAATTTATTAGAGTTTTTAATTATTAAATTAAAAATCTTCCAATCACAATTCACTACATATCATTTATAACTATCCATGTATTCCCCACTAACTAACCACCTTTAATTTGAATTTATTTAAAAAAATTAAGATTATCACCCTATGACTTTAGATAATTACTTACCTAATTTGTTAAGTAGTAGATATAAAAGAAAGAAATCATAATGAAGGTTAAATATCCACCGCACGGGCCTGGGCTGCTAGGTTTTTTTTACTATGTCACAGTAAGTGATCAAGAAAATTCAATGACATCTTACGTTGATGTTATGGTTATACTCAACAGAAAAAGGGGGTTTTGCTCAGAACCTGTAAAAAAGTCGTTAGGCATGACAACAAACCGACCCAGTTAAGATTATAATTTTTGTAAAGCGTTTTACCAACAAATAAATAACAAAATGTAAAGCCAAGTAATTAGCGCTTCGCATAACAATTACAGTACATACCATGCTCCAACTGCTGAATCCGAGCACTAACAGACTCGCTGTCGTTTGATTTTTTATCCATGGCTGTAGGAGGGGAAAAAAAGATCACACAACTCGAACAAATTCTACTCAATAAGAATTTCCTTCTCAGAAAATATCGGCATTAAAACTGTTTCTTACGGGAATAAATATAAATTTCTCAAAAAAAAACTAAAGATTATCGAACAACAATCAAGGCATCAATCGAATGTAGTATCCAAAAACCAGATCAAACGAATATTTCTGAGATATATCACGTATTTACACGGATATATTGAGCGAAAAAAAAATTACCTGAACGGATTAGGGTGAGAAACGACGACGGCGAAGAACACAGAATCGGTGAAGGGCTTGGTTTCTGAAAATCCGGGGACGCAGTTTGAAAACCCTAAGAGTGCTAGAGTGAGAAACGACGACGGCCACGAACACAGAGTCGTTGGCAGGTCTTGCTTTCTGCAGGAGACGTCCAACAAGAAACAGCCCCATAACCAGCTGTTTTTTTATTTTATTATTTTCTGGCAATCATTACTTATTAAAAAAAATTCCTTTTAAAGGCCCTGAAGTTTCAAGATTTGCAATGATTCCCTAATTGAAAAAGATTTTTTATTTTTTTATTTTTTGGGTGGGTGAACATGAAAACCACTGTTTGACCCACAATTTTGACGGGCCATCGGAGTCTGGACAGTTTTGATCCGCCCGAGGGGTAAAGTAGTGGATTGTGTTTTCAATAATGTTATTTGAATTTATATAATTTGTTGACATAATTCATCATAATTATTAAATTAACTGTGAATTCTAATAAATATTGGGACATATTATTAATTCAATGATTATTATAAATGTTTAGATCAATAATTTAAATTCAAGTTGTATTATTTTTGTATTTTTTACCCCTATGGAATAAATGACTTGAGAGAACCAACAACCAACATATGGCTCGCCCCCACGGACCATCATGCAAAGAAGCAATGGAAAATAAAAATACGTGCATTGGGTTATTGTTAGGTGTCTGGCACTCACTTCTAATCTAATTGTTATATTGAATTAAATTTCTAGATTAAATTTTTAAATTTGGTCCCCATAGCATTGCTCTTTAAATTCACCTACGATGGTATAAAAAGACCCAGCCACCCAATTTGTGGATATACTCATACATTAATTGAATTATAATTGTTTAAATAAGTTTGTCAATCGTGTCAAGTGAAACGAGTTCATGTCAAGAAATACTCTACCCGTATTAATTCTTGTTATATGAAGTTTGTGTCGTATATAACTGATATATAAATAAATCGTGTCCTATATTTTTTTTATTGGCTTCACTCATGCTCAATTCGTTTATTAATTATATCAGATCGAATCCACTTCTTTATTAAACGTGTCATTTAAATAATACTCAAATTCGCTAATTTTGTATCGTATTAATAAATCATGTCAGATTTTTTGACACTCTTATGTTTAAGAGACATAATGGTAAAATGATCACCAGAGAAATCTAGATCACATGAGTTTATCCATATGACCCACAGCAATCACATCTGTAAAGAAATAAAGCTATTTTCAAGTGGTTGGGTTGGATCGGGAAAGAACGGACTGGATGAAATTAACCAATCATGTCCTATCCTACCAAGTAGTATTGGGCTGCTGTTTGAAGCGCCAGGCCTGGAAGAAAGTGAAATGTATCGAAGTGTAGCGAGGCTTAAACACTCTGCGCCTTCCTGTTTTGGGCTTTTTGCACTTTACACCCTAAAAAATATCTCAATTCTCACTTTATACTCCGAAAGATTATTTTTTTCACATAACACCTTGAATATCATAAATTAATTTCAATATAGCCCTCGGACTAAGATCCGTATCAGATTTTGTTAAAGACACCCTAAAGATTGTCACCACAAGCTTAAATCAACTAGTAATGAGGATAAAGAAACCAGTGCATGCAGTGTTCAAGCCCAAACCTGGTCACCAGTGCAGACCTGAGTTTCTTCCCAGCAACCAATACATATTTGAACAAGTTACTCATGAGCTATGCAAATGTATGAACAATAAGACAGTTTCATGATGGCGATTGTCATCCACATAGCCTCCCTCTCAACATAAAAACCACAGTTTAACAGACATATTACCTACTTTTTACACCTGTAACATTTGCACACTTCAAAACCTCAAGAAACTGATGATCGCAGTGCCATAGCAGCCTATAAAAGCACTTTTAAACGACAGTGAGTCAGGGACCCAAGAGGTACCTTCACATGAAGTAACACACCATCACACCAAACAACAAACAGGTGAACAATTTCCACACCAAAAAGCACAATATATTGAATAATTACAAGCAAAATACCTTAAGGGCGAAATATGGCATCAGATACATGAGACTATGCATTGATCTAATTAAAACGATATGCAGCAACCCATTCGATTACACTTGCCCAAACCTTCCATCAACTCATACTCTGCTATCTGGAAATTGCAGGACAAATAAACATGAAACACCAAATGACAAAACTGTCTTTCTTTGGATCTCCTATTTTCTATGACAGAGAATGACCTTTTAAGTGCCCAAAAATCCAATACCTATCAGGTTTGATACAAACTTTCCAAAATTACACAATAGTTTCCCCATGTTTTATTGTCAATATAGAAAACAAAAAAAAACCCAAAAAAAACCTGTTCACGTAGTCTACTGGTTCATCAGGAGTTGCTAATAAAGGCACCCCTGGAGTTCACCTGCCAATTAATCTAGTCATATTTACAACTACAAACAAAGTTAGCTGGAGCAAATACATATGCCTAACAGGGTGTTATTCCAAACAATACTCCACTCCTGTATCGTGGTGCCCATTGTGTAAATTTCCATCATGCACGAATCATCTGCACATTTTTTAAAAGACATTAATAAACCAAACCTGTAAATAAATTAACAAATAAAATCATTTTTTTTTATTCACAACAAATAAAATCATTGCCACAGGAGTACAGTAACAATACATCATCCCAGTCAGGAAAGTCTAAATTCAAAACTCTGACAGAAATGGGAAGTGCCAATCAACAGACATATAAAGCAGTAAAAATTCTATATGCCAAAATTTTATGATGCCATCACTGAAATTTTAGAAGTATTTTAGAAGGCAAATAATAGCATATTTCCTAGGCCTGCACTGTTAAATTAATTCTGAAGGTTATTCTAACTTGTGTCAGTTCGAGGACTAACGATGTTGAAGCTGTTTCCTCTTATCGTATCATATTTGATCTTATATGTATTTGAAGCATTCCAAAGTGAAAATGCCGCACATTATACCATTAACAATATGCCTCATAATAAAATAAGTTTTTCCAATGAAAAAAGGAATAGGGAGAGAAAAATGATAATTAATTGTTTCATTATTTTCATTTTTGCATGTTGAGTTCCGACAAATTTTATCTGCAACTTGAACCTCTTGAGACAAAAATGAATTGTTTCTTGGAAAAACGAATTGAAAGATCACATAGATTTTACCATCCTTGGAGTGGCCCTCTCTTTCAGTGCCTTCATTGCCGCGTCTGCAAAAGCTTGTGCCGCTTCTGCATCAGCTTCTGCTGCCTCTGCTACCCTTGCTGCCTCTTCAGCTTCTGCTATAGCCGCTTCTGCCTCAGCAACAGCTTGAGCAGCAGCTGCAGCAGCCTCTTGTGGAGTCATACTCCTCATCTTAGTTAACTCTAGATCAATCTGTGATTTGGTAACATTATTAATATCATTCCCATCAGCTTTAGGAGAAGCCCTCTCCTGCGTTCCCTCCACAAGTAACAAGGAGGGGTGTCTTTTCTTGTCAGATAACCCTGAAGTTGGTACAATTCTGTACTTACGTTTCGTCTGCAAAAGCAATAACAAACCCTAACATTCAAAGCCTAGAAGCATATAAATTTAGAAAATAAAACAGAACGACTCTCAGAAAACCAAACTCGTTCAGAATGTCTTTAAGGCAAATCAGGATACAACTATGTTGCCATGTTATGATGACTCTTGGTAATGATAAAAGGTATAAAGATCTTAAGTGCCTTTGAGGCAGATCAGAATAACAAATGCGGAGTTGAGTCATCGAGGTCCCAAAGCATATAACTGTGTAGCATGTTTTAATTGACTTCAGCAGATGATTTTACGTATGGGAATTCAAGTACATATCAAGAACACGAATTGTATACACAACCCATACCACTAAAAACCGTGGACAACATAAAATCATTTTTGCTTCTTCAACATGCTCTCTAGCCATTGCAGCTAAGCCGAATATAAACTCAGTTCTCCACTTTTATTTCCAGGAGTTTCCAGACTAACAATGTCTAACATACAAGATTCGCGTGTAAAATCAGGCACCTTTATTTCAAGACACAAATCACGTATAAAACCATAATTTACTTAGATACCAACAGCATGCTATCCATCTGTTGAGGAGTTGATATTATTGACGGCGTACATCGAATGCTTTAAGTGGTGTTTACAAGGAGCTATAGTTCTTTATTTTTTTTTTCAATATTGACCCTAAGGGTCAGATGTTTGCAGCCATAAACCCAAATCACAATGGAGCAACCTTACAGCTGCGATAGGACCCATCCTCAAACTGTACTATAATAAACAGTAGTTGTAAACCAGGAGCATCAGGCACACTCATAATGTAATATTATCATTTACTCAAATGAGGTAATTGTATCAATAAGTAGCAGCTAAAAATGGTCAACAAAGATTTCAAACCTGAAAAAATTACACAAGAGGCCCATGAAATAAAACTGTTCACATCACCCTGAAAATACAATCATACAAATAATATTTTTCACCCATTCGAGGACTTAATATGTCTTTCAGTAATTCTAACAATGAGTAAGCCCAACTTGTTAAACAATATTTTGCAGATCGGCATACCTAGAAGGCAACATATGTATCATGTGACTACCCATAGGACAAGTATTGAAAAGTCAAAACAGAAAAAATAAGATCCAGGCCTTGTGATGACTAACTAGGTTCACGTCAACCAAGCGAAATTAACACAGCTTACGGTCACTAGGTTTGTGACCATTACACCTTGGGCATGTAGCAATAAGGGGTTTACAATTACCTTGACAAGCTTCCCACTTGCCATCAAGAACTTCAATTTCGCAGACAACAGTCTTTTAAAGTTTGGGGGTGCCCAATATTGTTCCTGCAAAACAAAACCACTGGAGGTCAGAATGGAGAAGGAAAAACGCTGAGAACAGAAGCAATACTATGGAAGTGTCATCTCATTAATCACGAGCTTCAAGCTTAATGAGAATTCCACCCTGAGAACCAATTATGAACAATGAGTTGGCAGATATAGATCCCTGGTGTTCAACGTATTTAACGAAACTGGTGATACTGTTCCAATAAAGTACCTGGAAGTGGCTTAGCACCATATCATTAAGATTTTACCCAAGCTCACGAAAAGAGAACATTCTCTTGTTAGACATTTGTATTACCCTCAAGAACATAATGTACATGATATTTGAATACTTTCTTTATACATAAGAAATTGACATATGATATTTAAGCAAAGAATTTTAATCTTAATAATCTAATTGTTCCAGATCTGTACACTATTTTGAAAGAGTGGACCTTTAACTATCTCCATTTAAAGAAAACAAAAAGAAATAAAACATCTACAATTCTGTTAGTCATAAGAAAAACTTAGCTCAACTTAAGAACATTACACAATCCTTCAAATGGTTAGATCTTATTCTTTTCCAATTTCTTGGATTTTGATTTTCATAGAAGTCTTACAGATAAGGAAACTGTGGAGTGGGCTCACTTCTTGCTTTGCTTGGTAAGACAACTTTATGCTATGATTCTTTGGATAGTCATTGAAGAAGTTGGGTCATTGACTCAACAGGTCCATCCCCGTGAAAATTCTTTTTTGATTCCTTGATTGATGGTCCTTTTCTCCCAATTTTTTATCCATCTTTAAAGATTTGGAAGGGTAAGTCATTATGGTGCCTTTAAATGTCCGAGTTTGTGCATGAGTTGTGGCTCCCATCAAACCTAATACTGATGATGTGCAACAAAAGAGAAGACCTAATGCACGTCTTTATCCACAATGATGTGTTATGTGTAGGTATGGTGGTGAGAATGTGGCTCACCTATTTTGCATTGTTCGGCTGCTTGAAATTTGTTGAATAAATTGTTTGAGATGGTCGAGCATTCTTGAGTGGCACCAAAATCCGGTTCAATGGTTTGGGAAGGAAACCCAATGGAATTACCCTTTGGGATTGCGCCATGTTTGCTATCACTTTGGTGAAGTGTTTGGAAAGAAATGCAAGAATTTTTAGGAGAAGTGTGAGGTGCTTGACAGATTATTAAATCAAGTCTACTTCTTAGCATCTTTTTGGGCATCGGTAACAAAAGATTTTGCTACTATGCATTTCTATAATTCAAGGTTGCCAAACTAAACCACTAAATGGTATGTGATCAATAGAATCTCCATTGCATGTGTCAAATGGCTTGTTGCTACTTGTAACGGTGGAACCGGGTATGTTTGGTTATATTGCATTTGGTCATGTTCTAGCAAGGTTAACGAGTTTGTAAAGGCATTCATGTTCATCACAATGCATAGAACATTATGAAGGGAAGCTAATGAGGATTCAAAATAGTTAGGCCTCTTGCCATGCCTCGTACAGAGCTAATCTAGTACTAAGTCAATAATAAAATAAAGGAAGAATACGTAGAGTTTTATGGGAAAAAATGACTCTCAAGGAGTTTGACAATGTGCCATTTTTTCCCCTTAAAATCAATTGGATTGTGGCATGTAGTTAAGTGATTACTTTTTAATGTCTTTTCTTTCCTTTAAGCTTAATTTGGGTAAATTTTTGTCCACTATATTTTAATCTTTTCTTTATTCAATGAAAGTTATGTTTCCTATCAAAAACTATTAACAAAAAGTAGTTCTTCAAATCAATATTTATTGTATTCAACAAAAAATTAACCAGATGACAACCATGATAGGAAGAGAGGAGAGCACAGCACAAGAGAAAAATGAAGAAAATGAAAAAAGAGAGCATATAGTAGCATCATGTAAACTACTAAACCTGAATACATGTACATCATAACCTATCCAAATAGCACCACCTATGGATTTTTTGGTGGGCAGAGGGGGGCTGATGGGTGATGGGGTAGTCAGTTGATAGGATACTTGTAGAAGTCCAAATTAATCTGCTACAACTCTCATTCTCTCATACTTGGACACTAGTAGCACATGGAAACCTCATAAAGATTAACCTTCCATATTATCAAACACACAATCAGCAAATTCTACTCCCAGAAAATTTAACTCAAACTGGATAGAATTATTACCCAAAAAAAAAAGCTAAAAGGAATAAATCTTGAAAAACAATAAAACCACCTCTATGTAAGTAGCAATAGTGGTCTTGTTAGAACCACCAGGCCCCCTCAAATTGCTTAAGGCCTCCATTATAAGATTGTCCAACCTATGGCAATGAAGAAAAAAGCATAAGGTTATGCATTAATCTGTTTTAGTCTCCTAGACAACTGAAAACAATTAGTTCATCAGCCTAAGAACAGTGGTGGAGCAGAACTTTTTCTTTGTCGATAGTCAATTTTCTTTTAATGAAAGCTTTAGAGCTACTTGATTTGATAGAATTTCATTGCGAAAAATTCATTCGTGTCACATCCACTAATGAGCATAAGACCTTGCCACATCAACAAACAAATCACATGTCTCACCTTATCATAGATCTTTTTGAACCACCAGTCGATGGAGAACTGGTAGAAGCTGCAAGAGGCTTAGCATTGACAATTTCTGCATCGGTTTGTGATACATGAGTAATTTCCATGTGATTTTCTCCTTGCTTAGGGACTCGTTGCATCCTCTTCAGAGCTAACCTGGCCTTCTCCCTCGAACCCCATCCATTTGCCATCACACTCATGTTTCTCCACTTGTCCTATCCAGCATCAAAACCATATAATCTACTAAACAATATAAGATTATGAACAACGAAGTATCTCTTAAAGAAGTTAACTACCTGTTATTTTCTGAATTCTGGACTCCTCAAACTCCACATTATTCAAGCAAACAAACAATTAAAAAAATAATAATGATGAAAAATGTTATACCTTGAGATCCACATTCGAACGCAGATATAATACTTCACTAAATGCTGGGTCTTTAAGAATTGTACGCCACTTTCCAGGCCCATGCTTAATAACTCCAGCTTTAAGAGCTGCTTCTTCTTCTGGTGTCCATTTCTGCTTGGGAGCACCCATCAAGAATAGCAAAAAGATGCACTCAGAAGAATATTATCTGCAAAATCCATACCATAAGTATTAGCTACAGCACGCAGAGAAAGTTAAAGAACCACCACCTAGGACATAAAAATCAAACCCAAAAAATACTTTCACATTTTAAGGCAAATAAGCAAAATAGGTGCATAAAAGTTCAAAAAACTCATAATGAATAATTTATTAATTCACATTCTAATAAATCATACAGTCTTTGAAAAACTATTTTTCTTCAAGACCCATTGGATCAATTATAAGTTCTCAATGTTACCCACAAAACACCTTTGGATCAAAACATACAAAAACAAAGACTAACTTAGAAATTTCGATAAAAACTGTATATATGTGAATTTTGTTTTTGATAATCGTTCTCGTGGAACGTTTAATTACACAATTAGATTCCAGTTACAGTCTCGTGGATACTATCAAACACAACAAGTACTGCTCGGGATCGTCCTGAATAGGACAAACCGAAACCCTAACTTACTTCACATCAATGGCAATCTCATAGCTAGCATTAGAATCATTCGAATAAAAAAAAGTAATTAACAGAGAGAGATAGATAATCACCAAGCAAGATCCTTCGAATTCAAGGTTGCTCGATTCTGTGTCAAAGCTTCGATAATTTGAAGGTCTCCTCTCTCTCTCTCTCCCCTCTCTTCTCTCTTTAGATGATAAATATATGGATAAATTACACTAACACCCCCTGACATTTGATTATATTACACATACACCCCTCATATTTCAAAAATTATACTAAAACCCCCTGACATTTGAACACGCATGGTAGCTGCACCCTTTTATCTAACAAACGTTAACAATTTCATTAAAAATATTTTTTTAACACTCATATATTCTTGAGATTTACCAATGTCCATATTCAATCTATCCAACTCACCCTTCTATATGATTAAGTTAAAATAAATCAATTAAAAAAAATCTAGACAACTAACAAATCTTACATCCCCAAACCTTAATCATCTTTTTCTTCCATCCCTTTCACTACCCTTTTACAAAATCCAACCCAATCCTAGGGGTTTGTTGTCCTCTTTCTACCATCACCTAGACCAACCCGCTGCATCCAAATATCAGCCCCCACCAACTCCCCTTTCGTCGCTGCTCCTTCGTCACCCCACTCCGCTGCATCCAAACACTAGCCTCCATTAACTCCCCATCTGTCGCTGCTCCTCCATCTCCCTCACCCCAACTACATCCAAACACCAAACCCCTACCAAACTCCCCCTTCATCGTTGCTCTTCCCGTCACCCCCACTTTGCTGCACCCTCCTTCACCTTGTTAACATCTACTAAAGGGGTGTGGGTAATGGAGGTTTGGTGGTAGGAAGTGGCGATTGAAACTTATACTTGAAAATTTTTGAATTTCTCTCTCTTTGGGACCATGGGAAATCCAAATATAAAAAATCTAAAAAACCCAAATCAACAAAAAAGATCTCAAAATTTTATACTATGACAAATTGAACACTTCTGACTATGGAAACATTAAACTCTCTCACACTTTATCCCCTCTGGTGCGATGTTGATGGCTAGAAGTGGTTGGTAACTGAGGTGGGTTAACTGTTTTGCGATGTATTGGCTATGCCTTGAAGAAGGTGAGTTCGATTTTTGGGTTTGGCAATGGTGTCTTGTGATGGTGGTGGTGGTCTCAAGAGTTGGGATAATTAAACTGGTGAGGAAAAAAATGCCCTCATCTATTTTCCTCATGCCCTCGCAATGACTTAACTAGACTCAAATCACACCTTATAAATTTAAGAATCCATCTCTGTGTGGTTTAATCATATGCATTTCATTGATTTGTCTACCTAAAACCATATTCCTTTTCACGACTTTGGGATCAGTCCTTTTGGATCAGGTTAATAAGTATGAATAGATGGTGCCCAGCAACAACCAGCTCTTTGGAAAAAATTGAAAAAAAAAAAAGAACAAAACATAATAGATTTGATGACGAAATCGACTTTTTTACTACAACTTCCCATTACGTTCCTTCATTTCCTGTTTCTTGTTCTTCTTTAGATTCAGACTAAATTTAAGAGAAAGTTTAGACTAAAAGCTATCTAATTCAGAAGAAGGCTTTAAAGGAATGATTACAAATGTCATTCGCTGCGAGACTATATGAAGACTTCTTTGTGATAGAATGTGCACCACATTAGATTGATGTCATGTAAAACATGATAGATTAATTCAATTTTTTGTTGGATGTTTGAAACAATTTCTGTTTGGATTGATGTTTTCGTTTTTTGAAAACTTGATTAATTTTAATTATGGTTTTCATATTAGGAATTAAACAATTCCAGGGAGTTTATTTCATTTTATGAGGAAACAATGCCCTTGGTATGAACACTTGCCACAAATAATGCAGAAGGAATTGATACATTCGAAGCTTCTTAATAGATTTCATTTGAAATGGAGGCTATCTATTGAGTCGTTACTATGTCAGCTTGTACGATTGTTTCGTTATGTAACGGAACGGATATGAGCAAGAATGGAATGAAAAGTTTGATTAAACATGTTATTTTGCTATTTTATGGTATTTTTGTCTTTTTCCATTTGTCATTTTTATGGGTTCTTTGGTATTTTTAATGGTACTTCCCAAAGTGAATGTTACCATGTATCCTTATCATTTCTTCAAACTCCTACTTCTTTATTCAGAAAACAAATATATATATATACACACACACACATATGTATATGTATATGTTATGTGTGCGTGTGTTTGTGCAGTTATATCTGGTCATCCTACTCTTTCTTTTGTTGTACAAAAGAGACAAATATAGAAATGAAATGGACATCAAAGAAAGACGAATTTAAAACGAGAACTGCGTATCAACTTTATAATTTTAATGCTTTTATTTTATCTAGCAAATTTTTATGGAGAGAGATTGTTTTTTTATTTTTACCAGGTTATGGTTGATACAGACATCTACAAATCTAGAATTGAAGTACAGGATTCCATTGCTTAATCTTCTTTCAAAATTTTTGGCAGCTATATTCAACTATTATTCAATAATTACTATTGAATTTTTGTTTGGTTAATGATCAAGGGAAATTGGATGAGTAGTAATTGGTAGTTTAACGGTTAGAGACATGGACTGAGAGTTGCTTCTCTGAGCTTCTATTTCAATGCATCATTGTGTTATGAGTAACACAATTTCTTTGTTCTTCGTAATTTTGACTTTTTTCTCGCTAAAAAAAGAATGAAAAATTTTCTCCATTGGTAGCATGCAATGTGGATGGAACGGATTAAATTTTTTTTTGAACTGGAATAGATTAAAAGTAAGATAGATAAAAATGTCAGTATCTCTTGCTGATTGATTTACTCACTAACTATTGATGAGTGAGAAGTTATAGTATTTGTTGAGAAAGCCTTCTTGGTATTATAGCATTATTTTTGTCTTAACATTTTTTTTTATTTCTTTCTTAGATTTTGAATGATTTAGTCCTACTTTGATGTCTAAATAAATAAACATAAACTTATTAACTATATAAATCATAGCTTACAATGATTCATGTGTAATGCACGTGTGCACCAACTAATCCGTTAAAAAATCATTGCATGCCAAAAATATCCGTTGCAGTCTACAGCTGGCAATTGGCACGTCGGCTGCAAGACACTACTACCATTTTCATTCAAAAGTTCCTAGAAGGCTACAAATTCTTGAACCAACAACGTTGGAATTCTCAAATTGGAGTTTGCAGGACATCCAAAAGAGTAATGTTATATTGATTAAATTTGGAGCTCAAATGACATGACAGCTGACTTGGACTTCTTTTATTGGTGTCATGTCATTTGAGTCCTAATAAAAATTTTAAATAATCCGTTGTTATGTCATTTAGGTTCTAAATTTGATCCCAAAATTTGATCAGTCTATCATTAATGCATCCGAAATCACTATAACATCAAGAAAAAAACAAAGAGAGAGAATTTGACAACAACTATTAAATAGATAGGAAAAATAGTAGAATACAACAAAAATATAGCGAAGCAACCGCAACGGCAACGGCAACGGCAATCGCAATTATAATTATAATCATAATCACGACCACAAAAAAAACATGGTGAAGCAACCACAACCACAATTACAACCGCAGTCGCAATCGCAATCACGATCACGTTCAGGACCACCCACAACACATCACTTCTGAGGAAATAAATATGTGGGCCTCCCTCCTCCTCCTTTCCCAACTATTTCATATGGATTATTACTAGGGATAACCCGTGCATGAAGGCACGGTTTAATTCAAAAAACATCGAGTATTGAATTTGGATATGAAATAATCAAACACTGAACTCATAAGTGAGAGAGAAAAGTTAAAAAGAGAGATGAGACTAAATAGAGAGGAAGGAACAACAGGGTAACAATTTTTTAAACACGAAATAATCAAACAATGAATGACTTTAGTGAAATAAAAAAATGTCAAAATGTGGATATTCTGTAAAAAAATTTCAATTTTTTGGCAGAGTATCATCTGAAAATATGATGTCACAAATATATCAACCTGTTTACAAAATTTATATATTTCATAATCATAATCAAATCGCTATTCTTCTTACACACACAACTATGTATCAATTACCACAACACCATTCTTCTTACACATCGAGCACTAAATTTGGGTACGAAATAATCAAGCACTGAACTCGAACGTATACTAAGCTAAAAGCCTAAACTGTTCCCATAATCCTAGACTAAAATTGTGTAATTCAAAAAAATAAAACAAACATTGTTCTTGAAAACGAAACAATCAAATACTTAACATAGACACGTTAGAAATAAACAAACATTGAATATTAATGTGCATAAAGGGCCTCAAGAGAATAGCTAAAATTAGAACTCATTGTCTTTTAACAAAAAATATTATGCTAGCCTTACACCACCACGAAAAAGTATCAGAATCCGAGTCTCCCGTCCATTCCATTCAAGCCGGAAGCTATTAAAAAATCCAACTTACCCATTCCAATATAAATTC